GGACGTGGGGGAGACAGACCCCCGGCGCCCCCTCCTCCTGCACCTGCGCCCACACACCCCGCACAGGCCAACCCGTGTAACCAGCAGGGCGTTAGGAAAAGGATGGACTGTGACTTCCGAGGCCAGGTCACAAGACCCCGAGGCTCTGCTTTGCTCTGTGGGGTCAGGCGCGCGGGGAGAAGCCAGCCGCCTCGTCGCACGGGTACTCGCACAGCCCGCGAAGGCCCCGGCGGCCAGGCAGGCAGGAGGCTGGCACGCCGGCAGACCCTTCAGCCCCAGCCTGGTGGTCAGAGGATGTTCACCTCATGACACCTCAAGCCAGAAGCCCCAGCCACGCAGCTTCTACATTCCTGATCCAAGGGAACTGTAGGATTGTATCTACTGGTGTCGATGTGACGCACCAACAGTTACGTAGAACAACAGGCTAAAGGTGTTTCACCAAAGACCCAGAAAACCAGCATTCTAGACGCCCCTGCAGGAAGGGCAGTGGGGGGGGGGCGGGGGGCACTCACTTGTTTACATCCCTCAAACCCAAGCGGACTCAAGCTCAGAAGGTTCTTGTCCACGGACCCTGCCGGACCCTGCCGTGGCCTTGCTGGCGTGGACACAGGCGGTAGGATCGCATGTGGTTGGACGAGGGGAGGTTTTCCTCATTAGCACCATCGCCACCCACTTCTTCTACCCGTTCCCTTGAACCACTGACTTCTTTCACTTTAACATAACAAGCACTGAAATCTTAACATCTCAACAGTTCCTGGGGCTACTTGTGATGTAAATAATGGATTTCCTGGGTCTCCATCAATCCTCAATCAGCTACATGCACAGGATGAGCCGAAACCTCACACCCCGGCCCCTGGGGTAGACCAAGGACGGAGGCCCATGGCCTTCCCCTCCCGTGTCCTCTCTTGCCATTCCTATTGTCACTCCCACCAGCTCGAGATGGGCCCTTCACTGAGATGGAAGTATGGGGTGGTGCTTCTCCAGCCTTGGAGGGAGCCCGATCCCATCTGTAAGCCCAGCCCGCTGGATCCTTGGTCTTTATTCTACAGATAATGATCAAGACTACTACCATGATCTGCTCCAGAACATGCAGAGTCTGTTCTTCTCCGAGTCATACTCTGGATTTGCTTACGGTGAGGTCATACGTGGGGGATCCACCCATGTGGGCCCTGTGTAGACAGGGTCTTCTCCAGCACCTTGGGTTGGAGGCACAGGTGTCATTGGCAAGTGTGCACTAGAAGGGAACCCTTCTGGTTCGGTCATGCGCTATAGCATCCAGCAGGCATTAGCCCTGTGGGGCTGGTTTGTGCTGACATGAGACCTATGTTGAGAAACAGATGCTGGATTCTGAAGGCCTCTCTGCTCCGCGAACAAGCTACATCCCTCCTCCCTCTCTTTTTAAAGATTTATTTTAGGGATCCCTGGGTGGCGCAGCGGTTTGGCGCCTGCCTTTGGCCCAGAGCGTGATCCTGGAGACCCGGGATCGAATCCCACGTCGGGCTCCCAGTGCATGGAGCCTGCTTCTCCCTCTGCCTGTGTCTCTGCCTCTCTCTCTCTCTCTCTCTCTGTGTGACTATCATAAATAAAAATTTAAAAAAAATTAAAAATTTATTTTATTATTTTTTTACATCCCTCCTCTCGCCTCCTTCACTGAGTCCGCGTTCTCAGGGTAGAGCATCCGTATGTCTTCTGTCCAACTTATTCCCACGTTTGATGCTATTACAAGTAGTTAATAAGCTTTTAAACAAGGAAACCTTTCCAGTTCCGAGTACTCACTGCCAGTGTAGAGACGGGTAAGAGGTTCGGACGCTTCACCCAAGATACGTGATGTCAAGTAAGCATCTGGTCAAGAGCGGCTCAACATCGTTGGCCGTGAGGGAGAAGCAAAGTAAACCCACCACAAGAGGCCGCTTCGTACCTATCGGAATAGCTGAGATCCACCTCTAGGCATTTACCCGAGTGTTGAAAGCCTGTGTCAACACAAAGGCAGGTGCACAAATGTCCACAGTGGTTTTATTCATAATAATAGCCCCAAATTGGAACCGGCCCCAAAGCGAACCAGGTGAGTAACAAATAATGGAATAGCACGCACCAAGGATAAAGGGCCCTCGTGGACACCTCCCTAGGTAATGACCCGCAGCATAAGAAGCCAGAGAAAACCACAAAGGGGACATCCCATGCGACTTAGTTCCTACAAACCTTAAGAAAATGGATCGAATCTGCACTGACAGAAGCAGATGAACAGGTGGGGAAGGGTCCAGGAGGGGTGGGCAGGGCTGTAGAGCCACGAGGAAACTCTGGGAGGCATGAGGATGTCGTCCTGATGGCAGTGATGCTTTCATGAGGACATGTGAGCATCAAAATACATCAACTTATGTACTTCCAATGTGATTTTGACCAGAATTTTACCTCCACGAAGCTGTTAAACATACACACACACCCCCTGTAGATGTGGCTGTGGTCCCGAGATGTGTGGACAAGCCTGCAGGGGCCTGGACCCCGAGTGGCCGCAGTCTGGGGCTGGCCCCGTCTCCCTGGCTCAGGGGTCAGGGGTGGTGAGGATTGCTAAGTCCCTCCCAGGCCAGAACCAACACAACCCTCCCCAGGACCCTGGCATCACCTGGGCCCTATTACCTCAACACCCCAAGTTGGAGAAGACCCCCCAACAGTCCTTGGAAGGGGAGAGGCCAGTCTGCTCTGGCGAGCCCAGCTTTAATATGCCATGGATCTCAGGGGGCTGGACAGGGACAAGGTCAAGGACAGACCACTGTGGCCTGCAGGTGACAAAGGGCTGCTCCAACTGGCTGAACAGAACAGGGGACTCACAGGCTTGTCCATGCAAAGCTCGGGGCCAGCATGTAGAGAGCGTGGCAGAGCAGCCTCCCTCATGGCTCTGGTACCCCCCCCCCCCCAGGCCTCACCATCCACACATCCCGCGTCCCGCAGAGTACGTTCTCCCCGTCTCAGGTCTGGGGCGGGATGGGGGACGGGGGTGGGAGGGAACGTCTATTGCCAGTGACAGAAGTCACAGGCCTGACAGCGCCAGCCCAGTGTGGGCGTTTGTCACTGTGAACCACACCCCGGCTTGAGACGGCCGGCCGTGCCTGCCCTAACCCGGGGCCTGTGGGGGACTGAGCAGTACCCCCACCTGCGCTGCAGGGCTGGCCGGAGAGCCCACGGGAGGTTTGGGGGGTGTGAGCATCAGTACCACACTGGCCTGTGCTCCCCGTTTCCTGGGTCATGGGGGCACCCACCTGGCCTAACCTGTGCCAGAAGTCTACCCCGGGCTCCACTCACCCGAAGGTCCAAGCCTGAGACTTGAACCCGGGAACCAGGTGCGGGTTTCCAGAATGAGAAAGCCACGCTCATCAGTAAGGCTGCCCCAGGCCATCTCCTGCCAGGCCGCTGGCACCAGCAGGCACTGCTGGATGAGGGCGCCTGGGAAGGAGCGGACACTGGCCCTGGTCCCGGGGTGGCCCGCCCGCAGCAGCCTCGAGGGAGGAGGGAGCCGAGGACGGCCCACCAGCTCCTTCGGGGAGAAGGTGGCTGCTCAAGGCCACCAGGCCGGAGGATCCAACAGCTCTCCCCGGCACCCTGAACCGAGCCTGAGAGCAGGTATGCAGCCTGTGGCTCAGCAGGGAGGCTGCGGGGGTGCTGAGCAGGCCTGCGCGGCTGTGCCCATGCCCCCGACCCCGCCTGCCTGCTCAGTCACAGGAGGCCTGTGGCTTCCCCCCATCACCAGTCCCCAGCCCCCAGCCCCCAGCTGGGGATGCCAGCACCACACCTGGATTTTGCACAAGGACCAGGTGGTGGCCACCTGGGGGCTCTGCACAGGGAAAGAGGGGGAGCCCTAGCCCCCCAACACCGCTACTGCTAGACAGAGGCCCTGATAGAAGCCCAGATGTGGTCCCTGGTGGCTCTTTGCTCCTCCTCGGGCCCCAGGTGGTGTAGGTGTAAGCCAACAGCTGGAGTGGGCTCAACCTCCCCCTTCTTAGCGGTGGCCTCACACGCCGGGGGCACACCAGCTCTGGGCCCTCGTCCCCCACCCCCTCAGGCACAGAGGTGGGAGCAGGGACCCGAGCCAGGTCTGCCTAAGGGCAGCCACCGCTGACCAGCCCAGGGCTGCGGAGAATGGGCGGGGGGCAGGGCAGACCTCCCCCCACGACGTGCCAGCCCGACAGGTGCAGCCATCTGCCTCAGGGAGCTGCCTGGTGCCTCACTCTGTGGGCTGCTCCCCTTTGTGGGATGTGGGGAGGGCTGGTGAGGACAATTACAGGGCAAGTGACCAGGGAAGAGAACACAAGGGATGGCCCAGACCAAACAAAGGGGGGGGGGGGGAGAGACACCTACCCGTCCTGCTCAAGAACCTCTTTCAAATTTCCACTGTGCCCAGACAGTATCACCTAAGGCCTTTTGAAGAATCACCAGAAGATGCAGGGCGGCCGCCTGTCTCCAAGGCCCAGACTTCGCTGCGTTGCTACCAGCCAGAGGGAGCTGAGCGGAGAGGGCCACATGTGCCTTAGGCCTCAAGGTCACAGGGACCAGAAAGGTCACAGCCTGGCTTCCAGCAGCTGCGCCCATTAATCAGAAGCCGTCAAATCACAAACCCCTAAGTTGGGCCAAGGGGCCGGGACAGGAGCTGTGCCCAGCGGGCGGGGGTGCAGGAGGGCGGTCTCGGCCTCTCAGCTTCCTGGAAGAGCTGAGCCTGGTCTGACATCGGCCAGGGCTGCACAGGGAGGGGGGAGGTTGGCAGGAAACAGATACCTCCTGGGGGGCGGGACGGCACCCCATCCCTGCACACAGTCCGGCAGCTCGGCTGGCTCCCGGAGACCCAAACCTGTCACAATCCAGAATGCTCCAGCACACGGAGCAGTGCGTCCCCACCTGAGGGCAGATCGTCAAGCAAGTCTAGGGCCTAACGAGCTCACCAGCACGTCATCCACGTGTGACTACCCACAGTCTGAAGGGACAGGAGTCAGACCAGGCCAACAGTCTTTCTCTTTCCCTTTTTTTTTTTTTTTTTTTAATGGCTGCATTTCAAAGATCCACCATCTTTTCACTCAGAAAACTTCCCAGGAAGGGGATGGATTAGTGCAACAAATTGGCGGGCGTGACTGAACACAGAGTTCTCCAGGCATCTCGAGGACAAGGCCCCATCAGCCCAGGCTGGCCACCGACGGGGGCCTGTAGAGACCAGACACGAGGAACAGACAGGGAGGACGAGCAGCCCGTCTCCTCACCCTGCCCCCACCCGCCCACCCTGAGCGGCAGGCCACCCCGTTTCCCGACTGGGAGCTAAGGCAACAGGGCAGCAGGAGCTGGGGTGGGGCTGAGCCCGTGGCCCGGGGCCAGCAGAGCCCTGGTGCGTCAGCAGGCCGGTGGCTCGCTGCTGTCCACCTGCAGCCCCTTGCTCAGGAGGAAGGCATCCTGCTTGGGGTCTCGGCCCAGGAAGAGCTTCAGCATGACGCTGGCATCCTGGGAGCCGCCGGGTCTCAGGATGCAGCGTCTGTAGTCCATGCCGACCTGCTGGGAACAGGGTGGGGGGGGTGAGGTCTTCACGCTCCCCCTGGACCGGTCCTCCCACATCCCCTCTCTCAGCCACAAGTGGGCTCGTGCATGTCTGCGTGGGCATCAGAGAGAACGTGCGTGCTCTTCACACACACAGCTGTCTCCACAAGCGTGTGCACGTTACTGCACACAAGCACATGTGTGCAGGGACCCCACCCATCAGAAACGCAAGGCCCTTCACCTCACAGAGGCTAAGCCCAGGCCGAGCCCATGACACGAGTGGGTCAAGCTCCCGCTGTGACAGGACACAGGTCTGGAAAGCTGGCTGAGCACCCGGCCCCAGGAGGGTCCAGGGTGGCAAACTCTCAGGTCTGAGGGAGGGCCCACCTCCAGCACCTGGCAAGTACCAGCCGGTGCCTCAGCTGCCCTCCCGGGTCCTGGGCTGCAGGGACCAGAGAGAGGAAAGGTCCCCTACTCCCCCACAGGCAGGTACCGCCCCCCACCAAGTGGCTGGCCTCCCCTCACCTTGCCGTTCAGGATGCCCTCCTGCTTGAAGCGTGTGTGGAACATGTCCATGGAGTACACCTCACTCCACAGGTAGCCGTAGTACTGGGCGTCGTAGCCACCGGCCAGGTGGCCAAAGGTCGCAGGCATGTTGGTCCCTGGGACAGATGTGGTACGGCTCTCGCTGTGGCCCGAGTCCACCCCCTCCCCGCCCCCTCGGTGTCCCTTGCCAGGAGAAGGGGGCCTCAAATCAGCCCATCGGAGATGACCCACACACCCAGGAGAGGAACTGGCCTGATACTTCTAGAAAGCAGGAGCGGAACAACTTGGCCAAGAGAAATACAGCTCTGCCCACTATCTGCTGACGCTTAAGAGTTCATGCAAGACGATATAACAAGGCACACCCCTACAGCAGAGGGCACGCACTGGTTAAAAAGCTTTTTAAAGGAATTTTTAAAGTGTCTGTGGAAGAAGCCAATGCCACACTACCTACATTAAAATCCTAAGTATTTTCACATGTGTTAATCCGAGCACTTGTGATAACACACAAAAATAGACACTAAAATTTTATCCAGAGGGACGCCTAGGTGGCTCAGCGGTTGAGCATCTGCCTTCAGGCCAGGGCGTGACCCCAGGGTCCTGAGATCGAGTCCCACTTCGGGCCCCCCATATGGAGCCTGCTTCTCCCTCTGCTTGTGGCTCTCTCGCTCTCTCAGGAATTAAAAAAAAAAAAAAAAAAAAGGAATAAATAAAATCTTCGAACAAACAAAATCCACCTTATTTCCTACTCCAGGGTATGAAATCCCTGGTCTCTGCTGCACCTTCCAGGCTTGTTCAAAGCAGGCGGCGGGGGGGGGGGGGGGGGGGACACACAGCCGGTGCCATACGAGTGACGCAGGAAAGCATGGAGCTGCCCACACTCGCCAGCCGCACAGCTGGAGCCAGCAGGCCCAGAAGCACAAAGCAGCCAGGGGGCCAGAGGCTGTCTGCTCCCTCCTGGGCCTCCCCTGCAAACTGGCCTGACGGCCTTCACTAGATCCTTCTGACTCAGGGAAGGGCTGAGCCCCTGACCCCCAGGTGGGCCCACCTCGCGAGCAGCTACCTGGCGTGGCAGGGACCCCCAGGATCTCCTGGCAGAGGCGGGCATACTCCTCGGCCGGGTCGGCAGCCGTCTGCGTGTGCAGGGCCTGATCCACCTTGGCCAGTACGATCTGGCGCAGGTTGAAGAGACCTGGTGGGTGAAAGGAAACCGGGAGGCTGGCTCTGCACTCCTGCACCAGCGGTAAACAAAGCCATGAAGGCGTGTGCCTGGCCTACTGCGTGCGGCAGGGGTGCACCCCCCACCCCCCAGAGGCCCCCGGGCAGGAGGGCGGCTCCCAGCGGGCACCTGTGTTGGCCTGCCGGGACTTGATGAGCTTCTCGAGCAGCTCCTGGGGGATGGCGCTGCCCGTCCTGTAGTGCTGGGACATCCTGAGCAGCGGCTCCTTCTCCCACACCCAGTTCTCCAGCATCTGGGAAGGTGCTTCCACGAAGTCCCGCTCCACGTGCGTCCCGCTAAACATGGCAAACTCCGCCTGCGGGGTGGGGGGGGCAGAGCTGTAGGAAGGTCTGGGCCCGGCCTGGCCAGCTCCGACCCGCTGGTCTCGCCCGGGCACGCGGTGCGCAGTGCTCTCCTGAGCAGCACGCACCGGGGAGAGGACAGCAGGCCGCGTGACACCACAAAGCCTGGGGACGGGGGGCAGCTGAGGCTCCTGGGGGGCTGCCGATATCCACGCCCAGGACATAGGGAGGTGGGAGCAGGCCGGCCCCAGCTGGCCACCTACGTTCCCTTCCACCCGCAAACCCAAAGCTCTCAAAAATTCCTACACCCTGCAAGGGGCTGGCCTGGAAACCACGGGATCTGGGCGGTCATGTCGGAGCCACCCTGTGTTTTCTCACTCTTGTGTCAGAAATTTCCCTGAAAAAAACTGCCCCCGTCCGAGGCGTGCTAGGACCTGGCTCTGACAGCCACTCAGCCAAATGAGCCGCGCGAGCACGGCCACGTCCCCTCAAGGCCCTGAGCGAGGCAGGGACCTGGGAGAGGACACACACTGGGCCTCACTACTCACGGACCCTATCCTGTGACTCCGTCTACCTGCTAAACTTTATGACCCCAAGCCAAGACCCGAGGCACTTCATGGTCACTGGGTGCTCTGCCGCTGGGCTTCAGCTGGCTGTAAACCAGGGTCCTTCTCAGGATCTATTAAGAGTCCGGTTCGGTGTTTTTTGTTTTTTGTTTTTTTTTGCATTTTTGAGTTTTTATAGGCAATTGGCCTCTTTAAGAGTCGTGTCTTTCAACAGAAACGCACAACACAAGGCTGTGTACACTGCTCGTCACGACCAGAGGCTTGCAGGGACCTCGCCCTGTGTTCCCACAGGAGCCCGGCTTCAGTATCTACGGACTCAGGGCTTGTGGCTTTACAGGACAGAACTGCCTCGAATAGTGAGAACGTTTATCTGGCAAGACCTGAAGGAAATGACAGAGCTGTGAGAGTCACGGGCAAAAGAATGTTCCAGATATGGGACATACCCTGCGAGCATACAGCGCAGAGGCAGGAGGCAGCGAGGGGAGCTGCGTGAACAGGACGAGGCGGCCAGGGCACACGGGGCCCCAGTGCCGGAGACTCTGCCCTGCCCCGAGGAGCCGTGGTGGCTGAGGGCCGACCCTCACCCCACAGACACATCACACACACTGGACAGACCAACACGAAGAGCTGAGAGTAACACTTCTAGGAACGGAAAATTAGGAGAAAACAAGCTCTTCAGCAAGACACAAACTGCAAACTGTGAAAGACAAAAGGCAGTACACGGAACACAAAAGTCAGAACCTTCTGCTCAAAACACACTTCTCGGTGCCCCCACACACGGGCATGTCCCTTGGCTGTAAAGAGGGCCGAGGCGCCCACACGCCGCCCCGGGGACGGACTCCGTGCCCACGACACTCAGGGAGGGCACCAGACACAGCAGGCCCCACAGGGTGTGAGTCCACGTGTGTGACACGTGCAGGACGGGCTTGTCCACAGACGGGGAGGGGGCTCGGGGGGACGGGAGCTGAGCGTGGGGGACGACAACTAAGAAACATGAAGGCTCTTTCTGGGTGATAGAATGTTCTGGAACATCTGTACAGCAGTGACGGCCACATACCTTGGTAAACTAAGGGTCACTTAACTATTCAACTTAAAATGAAATCACTGAGGGGGGCCCTGAGCCAATGACCAGCGTCCTTCTAAGAGATGAGAACACAAACGTGCAGAGGGACGACCACGCGAGGACACGAGAGGACTCTGGCTGCGCGCCGAGGGGGTGGCCTCAGAGGGAACCAGCACCGCCAACACACGGACCACGCCGTGCCCAGCCCCAGCACCGCAGGGACACACTTCTAGCCAGTAAGCCGGCTGTCTGCCGGGCTCAGTGACGGCAACTGGCCAAGGAGGCATCGCCGGGGCCGTGGTGACCCGGGGAGTGTTCACTGTGCAGACCCACCAAGCACCAGCACCGCCCCCATCCCCGCGGCCCCTGCCCCCACCTGAGAGCACAGCTGGTGCATCACGTGCCCAAACTCGTGGAAGTAGGTCTCCACCTCGTCGTGCTGCAGCAGGGAGGGGGCGTCCGGGGTAGGCTTGGTGAAGTTGGCCACCATGGCCGCGATGGCAATCTGGCGGCTCCCGTCCTGCCGCAGGCAGCCGGGCTGCAAGCCAAAGCAGGCCGCGTGCCCGTACTTCCCTTCCCTGGGGACGGGGGCAGGGTCAGGCCCAGCCAGGGATCTGCTCTACGCACCGACTGACCCGGGGCTACTGACCCCACAAGACCCCCTGGTTCCAGCACCCTGGCTCTCGCATCCCCTCACCCACCCGGCTGCCAGCCGCCGATGGACGGAGTGGCTCAAGCTTCCTTCTCAGGAGCAGGTGCCCGGAAGCAGGAGTCCCGCCCGCCCCCCACCCCTGCCCCTGCCCTGAACACTCCCAGCCCCCGGCCAGGCCCTGCACAGCGGCGGCCCCACGACCCCTGGCACAGACGAGAACGACGAGGCAGAGAAGGGTGGCCCGGCCGACACGCACCGCGGGTAGAGGTCCAGGTAGAACTTCCCGATGACCCTCCCCGACGCCGAGTCCCTCACGGAGTAGAGTTTCACGTCCTCGTGCCACACGGTGGCGCCCTCCTCCAGGTCGAAGGTCAGCCCCAGCAGCTCCTGGTAGATGCTGAGCAAGCCCTGGGTGACCACCTGCATGGGGAAGTACTCCTTGAGCAGGTTCTGGTCCACGCTGTAGCGGGTCTCCTCCACCTGGTTCATGTAGTAGCGCATGTCCCAGGCGTTGATGCGCCCGTCGAAGTCCAGGCCCCGCTTCTCGCACTCGGCCTTCTTCAGCTCCAGGATCACGGCGCGCTCCTGCTCCCCGAGGGGCTTCAGCTTCTGGGCCAGCTCATCTGCGGAGGTCAGAGGGAAAGAAAGGCAAGGCTACCTCCCTGCGGCGGCTGCCCTCAGGGCACCCCCAGGCCCAGCACCCCGCCTGGAACACCTGGGCTGCCGGTACCAGCTAGATAGGCCACGCCTCCCCCTGCAGCAGCCAGGTAGTAGGGGCGGGTGGCCCCTGGTGCCACAACCTAGAAAGGACGGCCAGGGTAGGGACGGTTGCCCAGAGCTCACGCCACGAGACAGAGCAGGGAGCACATGCAGGCTCACCCCAGAGCCCTACGCTTGGCCATCAGGTTGGAGGCCTGTGAAGCTGACCGGGGCTCAAGGGTGTTAGAGGAGTCCCACTCCAGGACGCACAGAGAATGGCTCTGAGACCTCATCACACTGTGGTCACGAACAACCCGACTCCCTTCTGGAACCCACGGCGGGAGGCTGGGGGAGGCTGGGGGAGGCAAGGGGTTACCTAGGAAAGTGGCCACCACCTGGCTGCTCTTAGCCATGTTCATCTCCAGGACGTAGTCGGCGTGTGTGCTAAACCCCAGCAGGCTGGACTTCTGGGCCCGGAGGGTCACCAGCTCTCTGAGGATCGCACAATTCTCCTGGAACCGACCAATGAATGAACAGCTCTGTGGGTGCTGGGCCCACCACCTCCCACTGGGTCCTGTGGAATGCAGGACCACCAGCTGTGCCTCGTTTCCCTCCCTCCTTCCCACGGCCTAGGTTTCCATGGCTGCCCTGTGGTCCTGACACAACACATGCAGCTCTATAAACCCCCAGGTCCCATTTGGACCAGAATGGCGTCATCGTGAGGGGTGTGAAGGCCGTGGGTGGAGAGCGGTGTGGGGCCGGGACTCTGCAGGACAGCCTCGGGGCACTGTGCACGGGGAGCTCACCCCCGTCTGCTGGAGGCACTGAACAGGAGAAGCGAGGCTGAGACCACACTGCGGCGTGGACACAAATACACGCGTCTGCGCGGGAATGGGTGTCTGTGCGTTGAAGACATGTCCCGGGCCGCAGTTAGAGGGCCCAGGCCAGCACACAAGACACAGAAAAGGGGAGGGCGCATCTGCAGACCCCAGCTCAAGCCCCAGCAACGCCACTGGAAAGAGAGAGGGGACGACTGAAGCTAAGGCGCAGAGCAGTGGACGCTCGCAGGCACAGGACTGGCGCTGTGGCCGGGGGCCAGAGCTGGACCCCGTGCGGAAGGCCGGGAGGGGCAGGCTGACTCGCCTGGGCGCTGAGCCTGGCCCAGCGGGCACCGGGCACCCAGGACAGGCCGCACCACTTGCGGCATCGCCTTCCCACCTGCTTGCACCGGCAGTTGAAGGCCTCCTCCACCTTCCTCCTGGTCTCGGGCACGTGGCACTTCTTCAGGAGAGGAAAATAATGTGGGTACTTGAGGGTGACTTTCAACTTGTCATCCCCAGCCTTCTCCAGCGAGTTCAAAAAGTCCTCCGGGAGCCCTCCTGTAGGAACAAAACGAGGGCTGCCACAGGCCCGTGCAGCTGGGGCGGGAGGCAGGCTTCCCTTCCACGTGGGAGGCTAGGACGGGGAGCCCGCAGGGAACAGGGCACCAGGCCCGGCGTCCCCACCCTGCCGAGCCCTCCGGGAAGACGGAGCCCCACTGCCCTTCCCAGCAGGGCTCCCAGGGAGGAAAAGCCCCACTCGGCTCCACCCTTGGCACAGGGGGCGTCCAGGGGCTGCGGTCTTTTCCTCGTCCCTTCTCCACTGCGGACAGATGCTGCCCGGCCGCCCTCACCATCGCCGCGGCCCACACTTCTGCAACAGCCTCTCACCCGGGTCCCCACCCGTGAACCATCCTCCTACGACAGAGACCTGGGTGCTGCACCTCAGAACGAACACATCCAGGGCCACCGCCTCACACCCCGGCTCTGACTCGGCCCACAGCTCCTTCCAAGGCCAGCTTGCCCGGGGCTCTCACCTCGGGACAGGTGAGAAGGGACGTGCCGCAGCAGGGTGGGCAAGGCCAGGCAGGGCACCATTTGCGAGGCCCCTGCTTTGGCACAGAGGTGCGTGTGCACATGTGCAGACAGACACCCACTTCCTAACTGGTGACGACCTGGGAACGACAGGCCCGCAGCAGCAGCGGCGCACACATCTCGGTTTCTAAGTGCCAGGCCAGGGTGAGGACAAATGAGCCCAGGACCCCAGACCCAGAGAAAATGCCCAAAGAACAACAGGGACACTTCACGCTGTAGAAGCCCTTGAGGTAGAATTAGGACAACCTGGGCATGACAACGGTGACCGCGGCAGACCGCCACCCACGAGGAACGGGGCCTCCGTCCACACCGACCTCTGCACACGGATCAACCACTAAGTGGGGCGAGGAGGTCCTGACTCGAGAGACCAGCACAGGAACACACAGGAAGGGGGTCAGGGCGCCTCTCGCGGGAGCGTCACTGGCAGCGCAAGGCGAGCTGCAGCCCCTGAGCCCCTCCCGAGGAGCCACTGCCGGGAGAGCGCCAACCCCTCCAGGCAGGCACGGGGCACCGAAGCAGGGCCACGGCGGGGCGCCAGGGACAGACACGCTCACCGACACCTCGCGAGTCAAAAGCCCTGTCCCTCCAGCGAGCAGAAAGTAAACAAGCGCCACACCCTTGCTCAGCAGGACCTGCAGGCAGGCTGGCCACACCGTCCTCGCCGCGGGCCCCTGACCCCTCCGCCCCCGACTCCCCTGCCCCCCGAGGCCGGGGGCTCTGCTTCACTCCACAGTGCTGGAGCGACCCGCTGCCCACACAGGAGGCCACACTGAGGTGGCAAGGCCCCTCGGGCTGGACAAATGGGCAGAGAAGTCGGCCTGCGAGGGGGTGGGCGAGCAGATTTGTCCCCCCGATCCAAGACCCAGGGTCCTGTGGCCAGAAAACACAGCGGGCGCCTGTCCTTAAACAGGGGGCCATGTGGGGGACCTGCCACCTGAGGCCCAGGCACGGAGAGGACTGAACCAGAACAGGGACGGCCTGCAAGGCCCTGTTCAGGAAGGCCGTGACCACGGGCACCTCTGCAAGCTAGCGGCCCTCTGGGGGCTCGGGCAGCAGGATGGGGACCCCCGGCAGCAGGGCCCAACATGCCCTCCCGTGAGGCCGCCACCGCAGGGTCACTGCCACAGCCCTCGGGCGCCTCACACGGGACGGGCAGGGCTCTCACAGGCAGCAGTGAGACCGCCGGCCTGGGCCTTTCCAAAGTGTCCGCGTCGGGAGAGATGAAAACACTTTTGTGAGTGGCTGAGGGGCAGTTCAACAGGAAGGAGCCAATGGACGCCTGGGGGCTCAGTGGTTGAGCACCTGCCCTTGGCTCAGGGTGTGACCCCGGGGTCCTGGGATCGAGTCCCACATCGGGCTCCCCGCGTGGAGCCTGCTTCTCCCTCAGCCTGTGTCTCTGCCTCTCTCTGTATGTCTCTCCTGAATAAATCTTAAAAAAAAAAAAAAAAAAACAGGAAAGGAGCCAAAAGAGATAGGAAAATGCAGCATGCTCCCTGACCAGACCCCGACGGAGGAGGAACACACGGAGGGTCAGCGGGTCGGCAGAGCAGGGCACACGGGCTGCATTCTCAACGCCCCGGCTGTTCCGTGCTGTCTCCCGGTGGGAGGGGTGTGTGGAAAGGACCTGCTTCTCCCTCTGCCTGTGTCTCTGCTTCTCTCTCTCTCATGAATAAATAAAGAAAATCTTAAAAAAAAAAAAAAAAAAGATTCAAACGAGAGCAGCTGGCGGGGGCCTGGAGCCCAAAGGGGAAATCCTGGCCAACTCAGCCACTAACCCGGTGTTCCCGGCATCACTCGAGGATCTGGAAATGTGAATTCCTGAGTGTTGAGTGTTCCAAGTGGAGACACCCCCTCGCCCCAGGGTGGTGGGACACAGATGTCCCTGCACTTTGGAAGCTGGCAGGAGGTGTCCGCGGCCTGGCAGGGTCCTGGGACGGCGCAGCAGCCCCCCATCCCGCGCCCCCCACCACACGCCCCCCATCAGTACCCAGCTCCTCTCGCGTGAGTGGCAGGAAGGTCGTGTCCTCGTTCAAGTTCTTGTTGAAGTCGATGCACAAAAGACTCAGCTTCTTCTTAATGCTCTTGATTTTCTGGAGGGAGGAGCACAGCTGTGAGTGGAGTGTGGCCACCGGGGCCGGGGGCTCCCTGCCTGTGGGGAGGAGGCACAGACCAGGCGGGAAGAGAGGTTGGAAAAGATAGACATCAAGTCCTGGCACTGGTCTGCACGGCGCCAACAGAACACAGACACTGGCTTCCGCAGAGCAGCTTTGGTGACCTCGGGCTCATGTCCCCATCTGTTATGGGTCCCTGGCCAAGAGCGCTCTGGACCCTGTCACCTTCTGGGTCCACAGCCTCGGCTTTTGGACATTTTGACAGAGCAGCAGCGCAAAGCCTCTTCGGAAACTTCGGGTGGGGGTGAGGCGCGGCCCCATCAGCCCCCACCGCCTCTCCCAGGGGCATGGAGCCAGCCCAGCCCTCGGGGGGACACCAGCTGCTGGCCAGCAGCGGCTGGAGGGCCTGGGCCAGGTGGGTGAGCCCCTGGCTCAGAAGCAGCCCCAGGCCGTTGCCTCGCAGGACACCATCTGGCCAGGTGGCGTCTCGGCACACCCCAGGGAGCGGGACCCAGTGCAGGGCCCCAGCTGGACGCCTCCGTGAGACTCCCTGCTGCACCCCGAGCTCCCCGGGTCCCTCCTGCTGAGGCGGCTCCCAAGTTACAGTGGGTACAGCCCCCAACGCCACATGCCGGACCTTCAACATGGTAGGGCTCTAAGGCCCATGGGGACAGCCGGCCGGCTTGCTCAGGGGAGCACGGGACTCTGGGCCTCGGGTCGGGGGCTCAAGCCCCATGGGAGGCATGGAGTCTGCTCTAAAAAAATGCAAACAGCCTTCCGTTGCTCTGGCCAAGCACTCAGCGAAGCTGAGGTGCCACGGTGGGTCTGGGCCCCACAGTCCTGGGAGTGAATCTGACTCAGGTCCCACTGACACTGGTTTGTTGTCTGGGTTTTGTTTTTAAGATTCTGGTTTTTACAAGGGGGTCCGGTGGCTCAGTTGGTTGAGTGACTCACTCTCGGTTTCTGCTCAGATCGTGATCTCAGGGTCCTGGGAGTCTGTCCCACATCAGGCTTCCTGCTCGGGGGGGGGGGGGGGGAGCCTTCCTCTCCCTCTCCCCATAATTGTGCTCTTTCTGTGTTAAACAAGTAAAATCTTTTTTTTTTTTTTATTCATGAAAGAGAGAGAGGCAGAGACACAGGCAGAGGGAGAAGCAGGCTCCCTGCGGAGAGCCCAACACGGGACACGATCCCGGGACCCCAGGATCAGGCCCTGGGCTGAAGGCAGCGCTAAACCTCTGAGTCACCCAGGCTGCCCAAGTAAATAAAATCCTAAAGGAAAAAAAGAAAGAGATTCTTATTTTTATGTAATCTCCTCACCCAACATGAGGATCAAACTCATGACCCCGGGATCAAGTCAGCCAAGCGCCCCTCACTGGCTTTGGTTTTAACGGCAAATATGCCTCATCTCTCGGAGCCCTGGTTTCTCTAGCCATGAGGCAGAGGCGCTGGCCTAAGCAGGACAGCGTCAGTTCCAAGTGATGAGAGAGCTGAGCTCTGGGTGTGGACCCAACGTCGCATTAACCGTGTCTTTCGCTTCCTGTGCCCTGGTGCTTTCCCAGCTGGGCGGTCTCGCGGACCCTGGAGGGCTGGCCTCTCCTAGGGGTGGCCAATTCCCAGCGACGGTAAACAGCTCACCCATAAGGGCAGCTCTTGTGTGCAAACCAGCCAGTCCAGAGCCCACAGCTCAGCCATCCCCTTTCTGTGGCTGCCTGGCACTCAGAGAAAATGGGGAGGGAATGGGGTGAACAAAGATCCTCAGTGATTAGCCACAGGACAGGGGCAGGCACGGCCCTGATCGCCTCTGATACAGGCCAGACCGAAGGAGATGCCATCTGTGAGGCTGGGACGTACGATAATCAACGCGTATTTGCTCTTCGTCCCTGTTCCTGGCACATGGCTCCTAAAACCTTTGGAATTTCTTCAGTGACAAGAAGACACTGCAGCAGCCCAAGAGACAAGTGTGTGGGGCCAGTCGTGTTACTCATCACCAGCCCCTATCCACTACACGTGAGAGCATGTTCCTGAGATGACTTCTGGGAAGCTCCTGAGGATAGGGGCCGGGGACCACCCACGGAGCAGCGCGGGGGGGCCCCTCCTGCCTACCCCGGGAGGGGAGAGGAGCTGGAGGTGGCAGGCTGAATCAATCACCAATGGTTTAACCAGTCATGTCTACACAATGGGGCCTCCGCAGGACTGCTGAAGGACGGCTTCAGGGAGCTTCCGGGGTGCCGCACACACTGGGAGGGCCGAGTCCCGTGCCTCTCCCCCAGACCTCTCCCTGCGTCTCTCCTCCACGTGGCTGTTCCAGGTTATGCCCCTTACGAGAACTCAGTCATAGTAAGTAAACTTTCCCTGAGTCCTGTGAGCTGCTCTAGCAAACGCCGTGAACCTGAGGAAGGGGTGGGAACCTCGGAACCACAGAGCTGGTCAGTCAGAAGTAGAGAGGACAACCTGGATGTGGTCGTTGACTGTGTCTCAAGGTGGGGCAGTCTCGAGGGGCCAAGTCCTGAAGCTGCAGGACCCGACATGTGTCAGACGGTGTCAGAATTGCGTCTGACTGTAGGACACCTGGCTGGTGTCACAGAGAACAAAACCACACACCTCTGGTATCAGAAGGAAGCTGTGGTGTTGATGTCAGAACAGGAGACCCACAGTGAGACAGATTTCCTTAGTGCCTTGGCATCAAAGTCCCGGCGAGGACCGACCAAGGTGTTCCCGCCAACAGTGCACTTGCTCTGTGGCTGAGGGAGCGCCAGGCTCTCAGGAAGGCCACGCCGCAGCATCAGGGAGGGCAGATGTGGGTGGAGGGAGAGCTGCTCCAGACAGACCTCCCATTCCAGAATCGAGGCAGCAGAGAGGTGGGCACCCAGCCAGAGGCTGGGCCCTCAGATGGCGCAGACAGGGGAGCCCCTCCGACCCCCGCCGGCACTCACCTGTTGAGTGTCCTCAGGTAGGTGTAGGCCGTTCCTTCTGCCCAGCTTGACCAGTCGCTCCAGGTACCGCAGGGCCTCCGGCCTCAACGAGTCCTTCTGAACTTTCTCCTAGGGTAAGACAATCCCAGCGCTGTCGATGATGAAACACAGGGGCACCGCCGGGTGCCAGTGAGGCAGCGGGAGGCCGGGGCACCCGCACAAACATCACTGCAGGGAACGGGGACGCTGCAGCCACGGTGGGGGGGCGCAGCAGAAGCCCTATCCGACCACACCCAACTCAGCGAGCGGGCTCCCAGGCAGCCGTCCCAGAGACACCAACGCTGACATGTGCACCAAACCCGTCCATGGCACCCGCTTCCTGGGAATAGCCCAAACTAAAACCAGCCTGCAGGGCCTCACACAGGGGAATGGCTCAATGGAAATGAGAATGGTGGGTGGCCTCAAGGTCATTATCCCTGTTGGGACAGTGACTGGTTTCACCAAACATCATACTGGGGGAAACTGGGCTAAGCACAGGCCACGCTGTCTGAATCATTTCTTAGAATGGCACGTACATCTACAGAGATCTCGAAGCTACAATTAAACACAAAACACTGCTTGTGCTCCCACAGGTCGCCCACCTGCACTGGCCCCAGTGCACGCCCGTGTGCGCTCCTCACCAAGGCGGTGCAGCAACAGGCGCTATGAGACAGACAGCGCGGACAAGCATCACCGTCGCCTCCACAGCTCCCTCCAACACCAGCAGCCAAGGCCCGAGAGGCAGGACACTAGCCCTCCCTGCGGACCCCCCAGCAAGGTCAGGAAAGGGAAACCATGTGCTGGATGCAGGCATGGCTTAAAAAATCTAGGGCTTTTATTTTATTTTTTTTTAATTTAAATTTCTATTTATTTATGATAGTCACACAGGGAGAGAGAGAGGCAGAGACACAGGCAGGGGGAGAAGCAGGCTCCATGCACCGGGAGCCCGACGTGGGATTCGATCCCGGGTCTCCAGGATCGCGCCCTGGGCCAAAGGCAGGCGCCAAACTGCTGCGCCACCCAGGGATCCCAAATCTAGGGCTTTTAGATTCTATGTTTGCATTTCTCTGCATTTGTCTGTCCTTCTTTCACGTTCCTTCACTGTGCTAAAACAGAACACAAAACTTACCACCTCAGCTGTTCTTAAATGCACGGTTCAGGGTTTAAGTGCATTTGCACTGTCACACAGCAATCCCCACCAACCACCCACAGGGCCCCTCAGCTCTCTACCTCCTAGGGTCCGAGAACACAACCATCAAGTCTAAGGAGGTTCTGACCCAGCAGTGCCCATCAGGACGTCAGTCTGTCCCTCCCAGAGTCTACCACCAGCATGCCTGGTGCTGTGCCCTGCCAGCCGTGCCCCCAGGCCAAGTGGACGTGGGCATCTCGCTGCATCCTCACCTGCAGCCAGACAATCCTCTGGTACACATCCTGCCTCATGCTCATCTCCACGTCAAACTCAGACAGCTTTTTGTCCGCCTCTGTGCTGGCCGTCCGAATGTCCTTGGATGGAGAAACGTGCTGGGGGAAGTCCAGGATATTCCTCTGAACTGAAGTGGGGAGAGAACAAGACAGGTGTGAACCTAGGCCCCGGGTATAAACTGGCAAGTACTGGCCTCACCCCCACCAGGCACGCAGCTCGTCTACATCTCAGCTGTTCAGTGAACACTTTCCACACTGGGCCCCGGGCCGGGAGCCGGAGGGAGGGGCATGGTCATCCACGTAGGATGGAAACAGACTCAACTGCCAACACTCCAAGGCAAGGACCGTGACAGAGAAACATGACAAGACCTAGAAAGGCTAAAATAACTCAAATCCAGAAAGAACCACAGCTGCTGATGGCAGCATCTTAAATTGATCTCTAACTTACAGAGCACAACCGCATTTGGTTAGACAGAGGAAGCATGGAAGGCTGTGAGAGCGTAAGCTTTAACAGTCACCGCCTGACCGGCAACCCACCAGTAGGTGCCCACCCTCGTGAAGTGAGAACAGGGAATCCCACATGTTCACAGCAGCTGGACCAGGAATAACCCAACAGTGGACATGACCCAAACGTCCACTGACAGTTGGACAAACACGACGCACCCACCACCCATGGGCACATCACTCGGCCGTGAACAGGAGGGAGGTGCCCACACGTGCTGCCTGGGGGACGGACTCTGAGCCGACACTCAAGGAAGGAACCAGACACTGGAGGCCCCACGGGATGTGAGTCCACATGTGTGACACGTCCAGGACGGGCTCATCCACAGATGGGAAGGGGGCTCATGGGGGCCAGAGAGAATTGGGGGTGACTGCAATGCAGGATGATTTCTCTTCGGGGTGATGGAATGTTCTGGATTAGACCATGATGATGGTTGGACACCTCTTAATATAAAAACCGCTGGAAGGTATGCTGTAAGTGAACAAATTCTATGCTACGTGAATCAGACCTCTACAGAGCATTTAAGTTTTAAAACGCATATATTCTGTGTTGGGAAGACCTACATTGCAATCGCAGCTTGGTCGCTTGCGTGGCCCCAGGGCAGACCTGCCGTGGGCTGCCCGAGAGAGGACAGCGAAAAAGACAGAAACAGCATCTGTCCGTCTGCGATTTACAGGCTCACAAGTGCCTGTGACTGCACCAAGTGTGACAACAAAATGGTGCGGAGTGTGGGATCAATACAAGCAGCTGGTGCGAGCAGAGGGGGCGTGGGAAGGGGCTCCCGAAGGGAGTAAATCTGTGATCACAGAAAAGCCCAAAATCCAGTAGGCAGGGCGTGTGAAGCCCCAAGATGGGAGAGTGCGCAAGTGCAAGCGGCCACTAGGCCGGCACACACAGACTCAGAGGAGGGGCAGAGAGGGGCAAACTGCACAAAAACCAACATCATGGACTCTGGCCTTCGTCCGGGTGGCAGTGGGACGACACTGAGGGGCTGCTGAGGGGAATGCCACAATTCAATTTTAGTTTCCTCTAATATTGCTGGGGTGGGTTGGGGGGCCTGGGGGCTTCAGTCGGTTAAGCATCTGCCTTTGGCCCAGGTCATGACCCCTGGCTCCTGGGATGGAGCCCCACATCGAGCTCCCTGCTCAGCAGGGAGTCTACTTCTCTCTCATCATGCACGCACAGACATGCGTATGCTTTCTCTCAAATAAATAAAATCTTTAAAAATAAAATTCCTTGGGCTATTGAGGAGAGACAGAAAAAAAGGCTGTAGGAGTGAAGCTGGTATCTGGCAGGGCTGCGCCCAACAGGCAGGAATCAGCCTCATGCAATTGCCAAGAGTCTATCTGGAAAGAGACTGGGGGGTGGGGGTTGAATGGGGCACCCAGAAACCCACGGCATCCAGGGATGCTCCAGGAGAATCCCCCAGCTGAGATTCTCCAAGGTTCCCAGAAAAGGACTTTTGCTGGAGATCCAGGGGCAAGGGTTTCCTCAGTTCGGAGCTTTCTGCTGCGAGACTCGTCTCAGTCTTTTGCCCCCACACTGGCAACCTCCACAGATGGGCCTTGAGGTAGCAGCTCTGGATCTATCGGAGCACCTCGCCTCTCAAAGGGAGCAAACGGATCCTAAGGAGAAGGACCCAGGTGGGTGGTGGTGATGAGGACACCTGATGGCATCAGGTTACCTAAAGCGCCGGGGCAGGGTGGGGTCGGGGGAGCAAAGGGGGCCAAGTTTAGTCGCTCAGAGAGAAAACACCTATCTCCTGGGACAGAGGAAGGAGCGGGAAGCGGCGGCTCCAGTTTCAAGGCTGGCACCTGAGCTGGCTCCTGGAGAGGAGTGCTGCTGTCCTGCTCGGATGCCGTAGCCCATGAGGACCAAGTACGCCAAGTAGTGCAGTACGGTACACACGGGAACCAGTGGCACCCCAGGCTACCTCTTGCTGAGCGGATGCCTCTACCTGCCATCAGCCCCTTTATCCGTCACCACCACCCCAGAGAGTAGATGGCCTCACCCACGGCCAGGGTCCAGGAGCTCCAAGGCCTGGGTTGCGTCTGCCTCCCCGGCTGGATCCTGACCTGGATTTACCTGTGTAGGACACCTCCACATCGGCCAGCGCCTTGAGGGTACTCTCATAGGACACGTCTTCAAACTTCTGGGAGCCCACCTGGTCATACACACGCTTAGTCTGCTCGATGAGCTCCACAGTGAGCTCCTCTATTTGCTGGGCGCTCAGGTCCCATCTCAGGTAGTTCACCACGGAGCACGGGGCCGCTGTGTCCAGGGCATCTCCTACACAGGCTGAACAGAGAAGACACAGCCCCACACTGAATGGGTCTGCTTCCAGGACAGAAGGGTTAGACTAACTAGGGGCTGAGGGGAATGGACAGGAGCACTGTTTCCCCATGAAGGTTGGCAAGGCCCAAAGGCTTTGTGGGGGAGCACAAGTTGATCAATCCTCTAAAGCAGCAGAAGATGCTGCACCCCGGGAGACACTGGGCGATCTCTGATATGCTTGTGCTCGTCGCAACTGGAGAACGATGCTATTGCATCGAGTGGGTGGTGGCGGGGCCCAGGACACCCCCCCTAAGGGACCCAAGCCCCAACGCTGGCAGTGCTGGGGTGGATATTTGGTATACACCTCCATCACACCGAGTTAACTTGTTTGATGACAGGGTGCTACCCCCAATGTCCCTTGACATAATGCGACGTTTGTACTGTATTACTTTCCTAAAATAGGGAAAATCCTTTATTCCTAAACCATCCCTAGCCCCAAGAGGTTTTGCATAAGAGACTGGTCTATAATAACAGCTGTTGCTTAAACTGCTGTGCGGTGTTCAGGGTGAAGACGTTTTACTTTCGTTCCCTCACTGATTCCCTCTGGGTCCTACGTGGCCCCCATCATACAGATGGAGGTCCTGAGATGTGCACGATTTGTCATGATCGTGCACATTTGACATGATCCCACGCCAGCAAGTGGCAGAGGTGGGATTTGAACCCATGCAGTCTGACTTCAGCTCCAACCTTGAACCAAGAATCATCTGTTCCCCCCTCCCCTGCTTTGTAAATATCTGGTTGTCCAACCTTCCTGCCCCTTTCCGAGGCTCCGCCCCGCACTCAGGTTTACAGTTCAACCCTTACTGGACTCTATACCAGGGATTAGCAAACAGTGACCTGTTTTTGTACACCCCTGGTGCCCAGTTGTGACAACCACAGGTGTCCCAGACACTGCCCAGTGTCCCCTGGCGTGGCGCCATCACCCCAGTTGAGGGTCACTGACAAACAGTAAGTGGGGAAAAAGAAAGGCTCTGGAGCCGGGCCAGGTGGGACGTTCTGGCCAAGTGACTGCTGCGAGCTTAAGGAAACGCCTTCTGCTTGCAGGGCACCGTGGACTTCAGAACCACAGAGAAAAGACGCGGGTCTGTGCCACGCTGGGTGGTAAACGAGCGCTCCAGAAGCTGGGACAAGGTAGGAGATACGTGTCAACAGCTACAATCGTCAGCAAAATCTCCTGGAGGACGCAGGACCTGAAAAAAAAAAAACCGGAGCAGACGCATTCCTTCTGTAGTATTTCAGCTTGCCACCTACGTGCTGGGTCTCCAGGCTAACGACGATCCCGCTGCAAACAAGGCAGACAACATTTCTGCCTTCCTGAGACCTCGAATAACCCAAATCACGATCATCATTAACGCAGTTATCCTCGCAGCCGGTTGGGGAGTGGGGCGGGAAGAGAAACCAGCAAGAGAAACAAACAAACAAACAAACAAAAAAACTCAGGAGGCAACCACACAGCAGCCTGGGCAATTTTCTAAATAGGCGACGCACATCCCATCACTTCCATAAGGAAAACGCTTTCGGGACACACCCTTCTGCCCTTAAAAATAAAAGCAACTCCCAGCCCTGTTCTGGCGGAGATGACTTGTTGCTACTCAACCGCGCTCCGCGTGCACGGGCGTGGCCGCCTTTGCCCTCGCGGTTCCCGCCACCCACGACGGTCCTCCTGCACGTCTTGGCAGCACAGCTGCTTGCCGCCCCGTTCCGGGTGGAAAGGCCACCTCCTCCAAGGAGCCCTCCAGGATTGCGCGCGCTCTCGCTCTCTCTCTCTCTCTCTCTCTCTCTCTCCCCCCCCCCCCCGACCCCCGGCGGCGCCGTCAGCCCCACCACCGACCACTCTGTAGAGCGGCTGGCCTGCTTCTCTGTTGAGCGAACGCCTGTCTCCGGCCCTGGAACTCCGCCGAGGGCTCTCGGTCGCCCCCGGGGCCCGCCCCGCGCTCAGCCCAAGCCGCGCGGAGCTGAATGAGTGAAGCGCCGGTAAAGCTGGTTTCCATTCATTCGGCCGCCGACGAGGCGGGTCCCGGGGGGCCGATCCGTTTCCCCCCCGACCCGGGTCCAGGCCCCCGAGGGTCACTGGGCTCGGCTCCTAGGCCCAAGCGGCGACCCCGGCGGGCGCGAGGCAGGCAGGGGCGCCCGGGTGCGGCGAGCGGGGCCGGGCCGCGGGGCAGCGGTACCTGCTGGGGGCTTCATGGTGGGCAGCTGTGCGCCGGCCGCCCCTCCGTCCTCCCGCTCCGCGTCGCGCCGCCTGAGCCGCCGCAGCCGGCCGCCTCCGTGCACTCCGGGTCCGCAGCAACCGGGACGGAGGCGCCCGCCGCCCGCGCGCCCGCGGAATGCTGGGAGGGCACGTGTGCCGAAGGCCCAGGCGCACGCGCGCCCCGGCTCCGCCCACACCCCGGAGGCGGAGCTTTGGCGGGCTGGCGCACTCTGCGCACGCGCCGGAACCCTCCCTGCCCGTGATTGGCTCTCGCGGAGAGAGGGCGGGACCTTCGGGGAGGAGCCCCGCCCCCCCAGGGACGTTTCCGTGGAAACCACACACAGCAGGCTCCCCGGAGCCTCGGGTTCTTTCCTCCCGCGCTTCTCTGTCCGAGCTCCCGTACTAATTTGTGCCTGCCTCCTTTTCTACCTAATTAACTGTGTACCTGGCGAGTTTTGCAGGTTTTCCTCCCGCACCTGAGCTAGTCTAGTGACCGCTTATCATACAGATCTGAGGCGCGTTTTGTACATCATCCCAACCAGCATCCTGCCCCTCCTAGCATCTAAGGAGTGGAGGCTCGACACATACATCAGCAGAACCCGGTAAATTAACCCAATTAAATTAAACGCAGTTTTTATTTTTAAATCGAGAAAGCTTCAGTAAACGAATCCAGGGCTTCAAACAACAGGTGTTTTGGAACAAGACAGTGTTTTATTTTTTTAAGATTTTATTTATTTATTCATGAGAAACACGGGGGTGGGGTGGGGAGTGGCGTACAGACACAGAGGGAGAAGCAGGCTCCATGCAGGGAGCCTGAGATGGGACTTGATCCCAGGTCTCCAGGATCACATCCTGGGCTGAAGGCGTTGCTAAACCGTTGTGCCACCCGGGCTGCCCCCAGGACAGTGTTTTAACCTATAACTACTGTAGCTCGTTAAAAAACCACACACACACACACACACACACACAACCCACAAAATCCTCAACTAAGGCGTCCAGGAAGGAAAATCTACTAGGACTAAATTGCCAAAGAACCCACTCCCCTTATTTCTGCAAAGGAAATTTTTAAAATCCCCAGGCTTTAACCATGCATGCATTTTAAATCGGATACAAGTGAATTAGGACACTTTTTTTAAAAAAGATTTAATTTACTTGGGGGAAAGGGGAAGAGAGCATGAGCAGGAGGAAAAAGGCGAGAGAGGGAGACGCAGACTCCACCGTTAGCAGGGAGCCGGATATGAGACTGGATCCCAGGACCCATGACCTGAGCCAAAGGCAGATGCTTCACCAACGGAGCCACCCAGGCTTCCAGGAGAACACTTCTTGCAACTTTCACACTAACGGTGATCGGTTGTGAGTCATGCTAGGAACTTACTCATTACTTACCTTCTATTAAGCACACCCAGCTTTATCCTACTTAATCTTCATTTTTGCTGTTTTCCGTTCTTGGAGGTTTTTTTTTTTTTTTCTCTTTCCCCAAACCCGCATCTACAAGGTCGATCTTCCCTAACCATCCCTGCCCACTTGCCTCCCCAATCCTAATCACCGCAGCCCTTTCTTCTTCACTTAAAGCACTTGCCATCCAGTGAAAAGTGTCCTAGTTCGCTAGTTCGTCAACCTCAGTACAAGGTAACGGGAGCCCTTTCCTGGTTTTTACAGTTGGTTTGCAATAAATAGTGGTTGGCAACTCAGGGACGGGCACTAAAGAGGGCACTTGATGGGATGAGCAATGGGTGTTATGCTATGTGTTGGCAAGTTGGATTTAAGTAAAATATTAAAATAATAGGCACCTGCTATACACAAATATGTCTGCCCCCCCCCCCTTTACCCTTATGGGCTGAATGACTGGATTTGCGGACGGGCGGGCGCCCACGTGTAAAGCAGCCGGGTAACAGTCGCGCCCATCCACCGCGCGCCGGTCGGGCTCCGCCGCCAGACGCCGAAACACAGCAACACCACGTGGCCCGCTCCGTACCACGTGACCCGTGCTGCCCAAAGCGCCGGAGTCCGCCACCGTCCCACCATGCACCGCTCCATTCCCGCTCGAGCGGCGAAATCAGTCCTGATTTCCGGCCTCCATTCGGTCGCAGAGGTCAGTTGCCCTAACGACCGGCTCGCCCCCGCCTCCAAATGACGTCACTTCTCCCCACGCCCGCCTCGCTCGGGCACGCGCCTGCGCAGAATAAAAGCCAACGGGAGCTGGCTCCTTCTGCGCAGGCGCCGCGGCGGGGGGCGGGGCCGGGCAGCGCCGCGGTGCGCAGGCGCAGCCGTCGGAGGGTCGGCGTTCGGCCGCCTGAGAGGTGAGTGGGGGCGGGGGGCTGGGGGGGTCCACCCCCAGCGCTGAGCCGGGCGGGCTTGGGGTTGGGGTGCGCGACTGGGAGCTCCCCGGGCTCCAGGGCCCGTAAGGAGAGGCTGGTCTGGGTCTGGAGTCCGCGCGATCCGCTGGCCGCCGTGAGTGGGCGGCGCGGAGGGGAAACTGAGGCAGGGTGGCGTCGGACAGGCCCCGATCGACCTCCCCCGGGACCCCAGGCCGGGGAGATGCAGGTTCGCAGCCGGGGAGTGGCCAGCGGGAGGTGAAGGTGCCCCGCCTGCAGTGGGGTGTCTCGTGCCGCCCGGAAACACGGTCCTTTGGAATCGGGGACCCCGTTGTCGGGGCGCAGATCGGGGTCCTGCCCCAGCGCCCGCTGTCCCCCCCGGCCAGCCGCTGGGCTTCCCGGAGCCTCAGTTTCCCCCGCTGTGAAACGGGCGTCGTCACGGCCCCTGCCTGATGGGGGTGGGGGGTCCGGGGGGGGTGAAAGCCGCAGCCCCCCCCCCCCGCAAGGCGAGCGCTTCCGCGGGGTCGGCGGCTGTTAGGTCTTCCCCACCCGGGGCCTTGTGTCGGCGCCGCGAGGGCGGGAAGGATCCGGGGCTGAGGACCGGCTCCCGAGCAGCGCGCTGCGTGGAAGGACGGGCTCCCCGGGCTCCCCGCGAGGTTAAGGAAGCAGGACGCTGCTCGGCTCCCCTACTTGCTGGGAGTCTGTGTTTTTAAGTAGGTGCATTTAAGAATGTGTTGGGGTGTCCCTGTTTTCCTCGGGTTTTCTATCCCTGAGTAGTCTGTCTCCGTTTCCTCTCTCTCCCCAGACCAGCGGTTTTGTCGCCCTGGGGGGGACACAGGGCGGTGTCCGGGACGTCCCCACCGAGATCTGTCCACGCTGTGGAAGTTCAGGGCGCTTCTGCACCTGCCTGAGCTGTGCACACGGGGGTGGGCTTCGAACCCACCCAAAACCTGCTCGTGCAGGTTTCGTGGGGGAGAGGAAAGGGCACCTCAGAGTTTAGGGGCTGGAGCTCCGGCTGCTGGGTTCAGAATTCCTGGTGTGCATCTTCTAAGCTGCGTGACCTCTGCTAGGGCCCCCATCTTTCTGGGCATCAGCTCTTCCTTCTGTTCCACGGGCAGTGGAGTGAACCACCCAGGGACTCAGCCGAACGGGTGGGGGGGTGGGGTGGCAAATCCAGCTGCGCCTGGTTTTGTAAATGTGTTGTGGAAATCTTCTTCTTCTTTTTTTTTTTTTTAAGATTTTTATTTATTTATTCATGAGAGACAGAGAGAGGGAGAAGCAGGCTCCCTGCGGGGAGCCCAACGTGGGACTAGATCCCGGGACCCCACACCCCCGGATCACGCCCTGGGCTGAAGGCAGACGCTCAACCGCTGAGCCACCTGAGCACCGGGGCGTCCCTGTGGAAATATTCTTATCACAAAACCGGTGACTGCTTTTGCATGAGAACAAAGTCGAGTGGTTGCCACGGAAGCCCTGTGGCCCGCGAAGCTTTCTCTGGCCCTTTTCAGAAATGATCGCTGACCCCCTCCACAAGCCGTGGCGTGGACTGGACTGCGCTCGGCCTGGAGAGTGCTCGGCATGCCCAAGGGTTTCACCTGAGGTTTATAATTCAGTCTTTTCAGGAAGGGTGAGCAACTCTTAACGGGGTTCGGCTCCGCCCCAGATAGAGAGCTGCAGTCTTACTCTGATCCTATGTTTTTTCTGCCAAGACCCCACGCTGGCCCATGTAGGAAATGAAAGAATAAAGGGATTGTTGGTAGGTAGGCAAGACCCGAGGTTTGTTGTCTCTTCAGCTCTTCCCAGAGAACTTGGTCAGGTGGCTGTGAGTTTGATGGGGATCTGATGATCCCCTAAGACCACGTGGATCAGACACTGCTGAGTGCTGGGGTTCAAAGGGAAAATGTCCAGTGGCTCACAGTCTGGGGGAGGGCAGGGGATGGATGACAGTTTTAAAACCTTGTGGGCCGGTGATAAGACTGGTACTTGGACTTTGCCAGAAAAAGAGGGCGTCTAGTTCTGTCTGATGTAACTTTGCAGCTGGGTGTTGGAGGGAACTGAGAGTTTCCAGGTGGGTTGGAGGAAAGGTGAGCAGTTGTGTGTGAGTGGAGCTGCGGAGGGTCTAGTGGAGGGCATCACATGCACACTCGTGAGGCTTTGGGGAGCTTTTGATGGTTTTTGAGCATGCAGAGCATTTTGGTGGCATTTTAGAAGTAAACAGGCTTTGGTGAGGATCATGGGCTCAAGCCTTGGGACCGTCCTTGCTCAGACACCAGCGGTGTGCTAGGGTGAGGGAGAGGAGAGCGCTGGCTTTGCCCTCCGCTGTTTGTGAGCAGGGCTCTGGGTTCAGGATGCAGGCGGCAGCCCTCAGCGGTGGAGCTCCACCTTCCGAGGGGGGCCGTGAGGGGTCGCTCATTTTTATGTGGGGCATGCCATTTTTTTCCCTTTGACCAGCTCTGAGCAAGGAAAGAAAAGGAGTAGAGGCTGATGTTTTTCTTCTTCTTTTTTTTTTTTCTAATGATGAAATGAAAAGGTGGACTGAGCACTGGGAGGGATTGTGAAGACCACCGGAGGAGCTGGCCCCAGGACCCCCACGCCACCCTCACCAGGCTCGCCGGGCACCCTGTGCGGCCGGCACCTCCGTGGTGCTTTCTGAGAGCTCATAAAGCACTCACTGTTCAGAGAGTAGGCCTTCTCTGAGAATTTTGTCCAGCAGCCAAAGCCCTACAAGTTGTGATTGTTCCGAAAGGTCCGGGTGCCTTGTAGGAGTCAAGGAAAACTGCCGTCCTCGTATTTTGTTGGGCCCAACTTTGTGGAGAGCAGCGGTGGTTCATCTCGGAAGCCGGGCGTGGAAGTGAGATTCGCAAACTGTCTCGCAAAGAAGCCACAGTTTTTATGGACCACCTGTGTCAAATGCTGTGCTGGGTCCCTCTTGTGCCTTGGGTTAGCGGTCCTCGGCAGTGGAGCCAGGCTCCCTCTGCTGCAGGGCTGAAACCCCAAAAGTTGTGCAAACAAGGTTTTCAGAAAGTTCTTTGGCCAGAAAAATTTGACTTGTACTGATTTAGAACCTTTACTTTTTCACCTAGAGTTTCAGTGATTTTTAGCTGGGTGGTTTGGCCATGTCTGGGGACACCTGTGGTTGTTACCCCTGGTGGGGGGACCCTTCTGGCATGGAAGGGGTGTGGCCAGGGGTGCTGCTGACCCTCCACAGAGAGTGACCTGCCCCTAATGTCAGCAGGGCCCAGGGGGACACAGCCTACATTGATTATTTGGAAAAACATTGAGTCTGACCCCTGCTCATGCTGGACACCAGAGTTTAAACCCCCAGGGGTCAGAGGGTACAAACCAGGCGACTGCAGCATCTGTGAGTCGCCCCCACTCGGAGTGTGTAGTTAAGTGTGTGCGGCATCCCGGGACCTCAGGGGTCAGATGGTCACAGAGAGCAGTCTCCTGGGGGTCAGGAACCCCCTGACCGAGGTGGTCCCACCTGGGGGACATTCTGCTCCCTGCCTCAGGGCACACTGGTCAGAGAGCAGGGTTGCTGTTAGCACTCTGCACTCACAGGACAGCTCCACCCCCCCCCCCCCCCACACACACACACAGAGCCAGGAATGATCCAGGCCCTGATGACGATGGAGCCGAGGCAGAGAAAAATCTAAAGTAGGTCACGAATCCTTGTAACAGCTGGTAAGGACACCCCTGTTACCCCATTTTAGAGAAGAGGAAAGTGAGAGTATTGGCTGGGACTCTTAGAAGGGACGGAGAGCTCAGGCCTGGGGGAAGGGGCGTGGAACAGGCCTCAGGCAGAAATGGCTGGACCTGAGATGTCTCTCCAGGGCCTCGTCCTCCAGCCTGTCATCCCTGTGCCCGCCCCGGGCAGGCCCTGGGGGGCTCTGACTCCTTGGCGGTGAGTCACAGGGAGGGGCCGGGCCGGCAGTTGAGAGGAGCAGAGGAGCCGCCAGGGTGGCAGGCAGTGCGGGGGAAGCTCAGGAAGCTCAGGAAGCGGGCAGTGAGGGAGTGATCAGGCCAGAGTGCTTGGGATCCCGCGGGGAGGGGGACCCTCGGTGCAGAGGCCTTGAGGCTCCAAGGGCTGGGGGCCTGGAAAGGCGGAAAGGAGCGTGCCTTGGTCTTCTAGTTTTTTAAACCCTTGCCTCAGCAGTCTTTGTCACGCTCCCCCGCTCCCACCTTCACCACCTTCACCACCTTTACCACCTTCACCACCTTTACCACCTTCACCACCCGGACCAGGAGGGCAGGAAACTTCTGCCAAAGACGAGACTCCTTTCTCCGTCTGCTCTTCTGCGAGCGCCCCTCACCACCAGGCCCTGCAGTAGCTCCCCTCGTCCCACGCACCCGTACGTGTACGCATGGCCCAGCGTGGGGGACCCACAGGAGGGGAAGGCCCGGAGCACACAGGCGGGGCTCCAGCTGTGCCACCTGTCGGGCCCTGTGACCCCCGCCAAGACCCTGAACACCTCCGTCTGGTTTGTACCGCGGTGCTTTCGGGCTGGGGAGTTGGCGGACGTGAGGGCTAGGTGGTAAACGCATGGGCTTTGTGGGGGCCCCAGGCGAGATCGGGGGTATCGTGTCGGCACTTATGTGACTTAAGAATGCGAGATTCAGCGGGTGCCCTGGGTGGCTCAGCGGTTGAGCATCTACCTTTGGCTCAGGGCGTGATCCCGGAGTCGGGGATGAGTCCCGGGGATGAGTCCCGCATAGGGCTCCCTGCGGGGGGCCTGTTTCTCCCTCTGCCTGTGTCTCTGCTTCTCTCCCTTTGTGTCTCTCATGAATAATTAAGTAAAATATTTTTTAAAAAATGCGAGATTCAGTCCCCGCAGGCAGCTGGCCAGACGTGACCCTCAAGGCCTGACTTAGAGCACAACATACAGGGTCCCGGGATTGTACATCTGACAGGAAGCACTCGGGCTCTGGGAAAAAGAAATAACTTTCTAATTATAATAAAATACACGTAACGGAATGTACCATCTTAACCACCTCTAAGTGCACAGCTCAGGGCACGGAGCACACTCAACCCCGCCGAGCACCACCCCCACCACTGTCTCCAGAACCTTCCATCTCCCCACACGGAGACCCTGTCCCCAGGAAGCACTAACCCCTGCCCCCCCCCCACCCCTGGCTCCACCACCTCCTGTCTCTGTGGACGGGCCTCCTCTGGGGACCTCCTGGGAGTGGGGTCCTGCGGGAGGCGACCTTCTGGGTCTGGGTCCCCTCCCTGAGCCCGGTGTCCTTGGGGTCCCTTCCTTCCTGGGGCTGCGTCGTGTCCCGGGTGTGAACGGGCCGCCCTGTGCTAACCCATGCGTGTGTTGACAGACACTGAGTTGTGTCTACTTTTCAGCTCTTGGAGATGATGTCGCTGCCAAAACAAACATCTAAAATGAAAACAGCTTGAGGTTTCAGCGCGTGTCTGGTCCCCTTAGGTTTGGAGGTCAGCAGGCCGACTGGTGTGCTCTTGTACCCTCTCAGCTGGGGAGCAGGACTCACTTTTGGTGCTGTGCTTCCTCCAAAATGAGTGGGTTGTGATGGTTGATCTCTGTGGGCCCCCCGGGAGCCCCCAGGGACCTCCGGTCTGGGACCGCCTGTTGTCATCTAGGCTCCGGCTCGTCCTAATCACAGACCTTCCAGCTGCAGGCGGTTTTCTGGCCAAAGACGCGTGTGTCCAGAAATGGGGAGCTCATTACCATCTTCAAGGAGCTTTAATTCCTCTGCCTGCTTACGGAACATGGGTTTTTTTTTTTTTTTTAAGTTTTTCCTTTATAATTGAGGTATAAATTGTTTACCTTAAAGTACAGTGGTTTTTGGTATATTTACGCTTCTCTGAGTCCAGAACATTCCATCACCCCAAAAAGAAACTGTCTCCATAGCCTTCACCCCCATCCCCCCCGGCCCCCACGAGCCCCCTCCCCGTCCTGGACGTGTCACACACGTGGGCTCACACCCCGTGGGGCCTCCTGTGTCCGGTTCCTCCACTTGAAGAAGCAGCTGTCGAGGGACACAGATTCCCACGAAGCAGGGACCGAGCAGATGCACCAGGTGGAGGCACCGTCTCCGTGTGGCGCCGGCCTGCGTGGGGAGCCTGGGGCCGGGTGACGGGCTCTCCCCGGCTTTGTTGAACCATCGTGACTGGTAACAGGCTAACGAGAGTGCCGGCAGGAGCCCCGCTCCTTGTTTTCTGCAGGGCACGGGTTGCTCACCCCCCCGCAGGCGTTTTGGGGAGACCAAGGTGCTGACTCTGCGGGTTCCTTGGGCCGGCCGCTCCTCACAGGCCACGGTCCCCAACCTGTTGCTTTTGTCGGTGGGAGCGACCAGGGAGGTCGTGGTGTGGAGGGGATGACACAGTGTTGCATGACGTGCCTGACCCATCATAGACCCTTAGGTAGCAGAACCCTCTTGCCCAGAATGTTCCAGACCAGGGCTTTCCGCTGGGCACGGCTGACGCTGGAACTGATATGTGGGCGTCCTGGGAGCGGGGGGCTGAGCAGCATCCCAGGTCCTCGTGGCCCAATGCCGGGAGCACCCCCATCGTGGTGACCACGGATGTCCCCAGACATGGCCCAGAGTCCCTGAGGCAGGGTCACTCCCAGCCTGGGAGTCCAGCACTTGCAGAGGGACCAAGAGCTGGCCCTCAGGCGGCCTGGAAGGGGCTCCGTGCCCCTGCACCTTTCGGGCTACTCTGAACCCCTCCCCTCCCAGCCGTTTACCCCTCACTTACTCTTCAGATAGAGCTGGCCAGGCGAGGCGCCTGGGGGCTCAGGAGGTGAAGTGTCTGCCTTCGGCTCGGGTCACCTAGGTCACGACCCCAGAGTCGGGGGGGGGGGGAACGTCGGCTGCAGCCCCCTGCTTGTGCTCTTGTGCCCTCGTGTGTTTGTGCTCTTTCTCTGTCAAATCAATCAATCAATCAATCTTTAGAAAAGACCTGCCCAGGGCGCTTAAAGTGGCTTCCTTGGGCCTGGGGCTCGTGCAGGCCTGGTGAGCCAGCGCCCGGAGGTCCGGGGAGCCTGGAGCAGCAGGTGCCACCCATGCCCTTGGTCTGTGCTCCTCACGGCCCTGGCTTGGCTCCACAGATCTTGAAAACCCCAGGGTATTGTCTCTTCCTGTCTGAAGATGGATAACAAGAAGCGCCTGGCCTACGCCATCATCCGGTTCCTGCATGACCAGCTCCGGCACGGGGGGCTCTCGTCCGATGCCCAGGAGAGCTTGGAAGGTACGTGTGGGCCCGCTGTCCTCCCCGCTTCCCACCACACACAGCCAGCCCCGTCACCTCAGGCCCAGCTTCCTGCAGGAGTTCTGGTGAGCTCCCCGTATTTCATCAAGGTGTGGTTCCAGAACATTCTCCTCCACTGTAGTCACACTGATCAGAGAAGAAAGGCTCATTTTAAAGAAAGGGTGGGATGGCCACGGCGCCTGGGAGCCGCACAGGACTGGGGGACAGGATCCCAGGCTGGACCGGCACTTGAGTGGCCTCTGCCCAGACCCCGCCACCAGCCCCTTGGCGTCCACCTGGCTCGGCCCGCAGGGACACAGTGGGAGTTGGCGGTTCGGCACCTGCCATGTGCCAGGCCTTTGACCTGGGTCTCATAGAGAGGGGACTCCCCTGAGCCCCAGAGCCCCAGAGTCTGGGCTGCGTTCAGAAGAACATGCTTCTGTCCACCTCACAGTTGCAATCCAGTGCCTGGAGACTGCTTTTGGGGTGACAGTGGAAGACCATGACCTCGCCCTCCCTCAGACTCTGCCGGAAATATTTGAAGCAGCTGCTGCAGGCAAGGTGAGTTTCTGGGCTTCACGGGACAGGCATAACAGCAGGAGTCGCCAGGGCCCCCGAGCACCCGTGCGAGACCTGGGTTCTCTCCCAGGCTGCTTCCCGGCTGTGGACCAGGGAAGTGGGGGCCCGGCCCCGGCCCGAGGTGCTCTCCACAGTGCCTAGCTGCCCTCGGGCGGCCCTTAAGCAGGAGGGAGGCCGCGGGTGTGGGCTTTTTGGAGGAGGAGACGGTAGGGTTGCCCGCTGCCTGCAAACGGCTTGTCTTTGCCTTGGGACAGGAGGTGCCGCAGGACCTGAGGAGCCCCGAGCGGACCCCGCCTTCAGAGGAGGACTCAGCCGAGGCAGAGCGCCTCAAAACCGAAGGTGAGCTGAGACTGCATCTCCACCAGGCACCTGACCCACCTGGCCTGCGGGCGGCAGGGGCGGGGGGGCCCTGGGGTGCAGCTGCAGGAGGGGAGCCGGGCCCCTAAACACGCAGCGCCAGCATGTGGGAGGATAAGCCCCGCGCTCGGCCCCCGGGGATGTATGCGGGGCAGCGGCCAGGGAAGGCATTCCCCGCAGCTCCCCGGTGGCCACACGGCGGGCACGTGGCCCAGCCGGTCCCCTCCCACACCCAGGACAAGTGCGGGCGTGTGTCCACAGCAGCCAAAAGGTAGAACGGCCCAAATGTCCATAAACTGGTAAAGGGTGAACAAAATGTGATGTATCTGTGTTCTGGAATGTCCCTCAGCCACAAGTGGGTAAGGTGCCCACATGCACCACCCCAGGGACGGACCCCGAGCCCACGACACTCAGGGAGGGAACAGATACAGGAGGCCCCACAGGGTGTGAGTCCATGTGTGTGACACGGCCAGGACGGGCTCACCCATGCACAGGGGAGGGGGCTTGGGGGCCAGGGGAGGGTGAGGAGTGACTGCTCATGGGGAGGGACTGTTTTGAGGGGGGAAATGGAATGTTCTGGAATTAGGTTGTGGCATTGGACACTTGTGAATTTCTAAAAGCCGCTGAGTCATTTACTTTGAAAACGTGAGTTTTACATTCAGATTACATTTCGTGAAAATTGGTTTCTTGTGAAAGAAGGAGCAAAGAGACTTACGTCTCCAAATGTCACAACCAAAGCAGTGACGGTCGTCACTGAGTGCCGGCTCAGGCCAGAACCCAGATCCTCCTCCACACCCCAGCACCCCTGAGTGTTGCATCCTAGCCCCCCCGGCCCCACCCCCCCAACATCTTGCACCTTCAGGGAGAAGCCCGGGAGAGCTGGGCCGGACGTCTCGGCCCCCGGGATGTGACGTGAACAGCTGGGCATACGTTGTTTTTTCTTTCCCTTTAGGAAACGAGCAGATGAAGGTAGAAAACTTTGAAGCTGCCGTGCACTTCTACGGGAAAGCCATCGAGCTGAACCCGGCCAACGCCGTCTACTTCTGTAACAGGTAGCAGCCGGGCGCGCTCAGGGAGGTGTTCACACTGTGATCGTTCATCCAGCGCCCAGATAAGTAGCCAGCAGCCCGTGGCCAGCAAAGCGTCAACAGGAGCTGATCGTGGCATTAAAATCAAAGTTAGGGACACCATTCTGCACAGGTGTTGGGTGAGGACGCAGGCCAAACCACGGGTGACCATATCGCGCCTGCGCTCACGGTGGCGTTACTGCTGGCTGTGGGGAGCCCCGTGTGGCTGGTGCTTTAAGGGAAAGCTGCCTCAGCCTCCCAGAGCCTCCCAGTATACGGACCGCTGTGCTGACGACAGGGCCTGAGAGGGCCGTGGGACAAGGGTCGCCCTCCAGGGCACAAGCCAGGGCCCCGGCGTTGGATAGCCCAGGTCGGGGGCGCAGAGCTGCTCTTGTCTTAGTTTCTTTCCTCTGACTCTGGGGCGATAACGCAAACACACTGACAGAAAAGTTGCACGCGTAGCACAGAGAACGCCGTCCACCCTCCACCCGCACAGCGCCCAGCACTGAGTACTGCTCAGCCCTGCTGCCTTTCTGGGGGAAACGTAAAGTGGGATGTTAAAAACCAAAAGAGAAACCATCTGTCATGGTAAGCTGAGAGCTGGGACGGGTCTCCTGGTAGATCCGAGTCCCTGTCTGATGGCAGGTGTTCCCTGGGGGCGCCTGGACCACTCGGGCAGTGTGGTGTCTGCCTTCGGCTCAGGGTGTGATCCCGGGGCCCCGGGATTGAGTCCAACGTTGGGCTCCTGGCTTAGCGGGGAGTCTGCTTCTTCCTCTCCCCCCCCGCCCCCGCCGCTCCTTCTCATTGTCTCTCAAATCTTAAAAAAAATAAGTAATAGATGTTCCCTAACGTAAAGCAAGCACCGGCTCCCAACGGCGGGGAGACCCTGGGTGCCAAGCCCATTGACTTGGGTTCAGACTGGTCTCATCACACCTGGGTGCTCTGCAGCGTCGTCAGGACGAGCTGCCTCCGTCTCCCCAGGAGCGTATCCCAGCCCCCACCACGGGTACTTGGTGGACAGAAGCCCTGGGCAGCCCAGTGTCCCGCCGCCCACCTGCCAGATGGGGAGACTGAGGCTCCTCCATGGCAACGAGGGCCGCAGCTTTGCCCGCCCTGCTTTGTGTCCCCAGAGCTGCGGCCTACAGCAAGCTCGGGAACTACACGGGTGCTGTTCAGGACTGTGAGCGAGCCATCTGCATAGACCCGTCCTACAGCAAAGCCTACGGCAGGATGGGGTGAGTGCCGCAAGGAGCCACACGGTCCCTGCCTTCCTGGTCCCCCTTCCCCTGCAGGCAGCCCATGCCCCTTTCCTATTCGGGCTGCTTTCCACACGCCCAGCTCCGTCACCAGCTGACCTCCAGCAGTTCTCTTCCGTCTGGATGGACGGTCAGGACTTGGCCCCACGCGGATGCCAGTCATAAAGCTGGGCCTCCCCCGTGCCCCCCAACTGCTCTGAATCAGGGTTCCCACTTCCCTGTGTCCTGTGCTTCCATGATGTGCTGGAGCAGCTCACAGCCTCAGGACAGCACTTGGGCCCACTGGTCCATTGTAGAGGACACAGATGAAGAGGCCCTCAGGGCAGGGTCCAGGAAGGTCCTCGGCGCAGATCCCTGTCCCCCTAGAGTGGGGTGTGATGCCATCACCAAAGGGGACGTCCACATGTCATTGTTCAGGAGTCTTACAGCCCGCTCTCCAGCCTTCTCCCCTCCCAGAGGTTTGGGGTTGCCAGGTCCCCACTCAAATCCCAGCCTTGGTCTTCCTGGCCACCAGCCCTATCCTGAGTCACCTCACGGACAGGAACTCAGGTGTAATCAAAGGGGCTCGTTATAAAAACCACGGGAGACCCCTGTGACTTAGGAAGTTTTGCGTCTTAGGAGCTCTGTGCCGAGAACAGGGCCAGTGTGTCTGACCTCCTGCCCTCTGCCTCTGAGCCCTTCCTCTGGGCCTTCCAGCCCAACCTCTCAGCCCCCGCCACCCTGGCGTGCCGTCCCCAGCAGACGCTAGGCCCGGTGGCGCTGGAGCAGTTGGGGCGTGGTGGGTGGGCAGCCCCCGGGCCCTCTCCCATGTCCTGGTGTCTCCCCCTAGCCTCGCTCTCTCCAGTTTGAACAAGCACACCGAGGCCGTGGCTTACTACAAGAAGGCCTTGGAGCTGGATCCTGAGAATGAGACTTACAAGTCGAACCTCAAGATAGCCGAGCTGAAGCTGAGAGAGACGCCGAGTCCCGTGAGCGGCCCGGGAGGGAGCAGGGGAGCGTGGGCCGGCGCCTTTGTTGTGTCTGTGGGGAGGGGCGGGTGAGGCCGGGGATGTGGGGTTAGGACAGGACAGGCGAGCAGTCTCTGCAGAGTCTGGGGCATGGGGTCCGACTGGCTGTCGAGTACCTGGCTCTGGGCGGTCAGGGCAGAGGGTGGTGGCTCTGAGTATGAGACGCTGATGGAGGAAGGCTGGGTGTGTGGGCTGTGGACTCACTGGCCTGCGTGCTAAAGGTGGACTGGTAGTTTCCAGCGTTGGTCACCCCTGAGGGCCCTCCAGGGGCCCAAGGCATCAGAGCGTTACAAAATACTTCTCCTAAGGGATCAACGGGGTGGCTTGGGCCTTTGGCAAGCACTAGCCTCAAGGCCTGGCCACTCGGGAGGGCGTCTGGGCCGTATGAGTCTTGGGACTCAGCCGGTCCCCTGTGGGATCTTCTGTCTCCGTTCTGGGGGCCAGTGTCATTGTCCTGTGGCCACTCACCAGGGCTCTTATCCCCACAGACGGGAGGCGTCGGCAGCTTTGACATCGCCGGCCTGCTCAACAACCCCAGCTTCATGAGCATGGTAACCTGCGCTCCCATCTCCCGTGGGCTCTGGGCCCACCACCCGGGGCTGTGTCTGCCTGTCAGGGCCAGGGCTGCCGGCCTGGGTGGGGTTGGACACTGGGCCCGGCCATTCCTTAGGGTTGTGACTGGGGCGTCTGGGGGGCTGAGCAGCATCCCCAACCCCACCCCCTCGACTCCAGGAGCTCCCCCCGTTGTGACCACCACCTAGGTCCCCAGACACTGCCATGCCCCAGGGGCAGCACTGAGCACGAAGGACAGCTGGATCCTGCCTCTCCCCGCCCAATAACCCGGGAAACAGCATCCCTCTCTCCAGCTCGGTCTCCTCCTCATGCTGTGGAGACCCTGACGGCAGCACACCCCACCTGCTTCCCAGGGTTCGGGTGGACGCCACCACCTTCTGACACCAGAGACTTAAGGCTAGAAGCACTTGTTCTGTGCAGGGCGCCCAGCTGTGAGCCTCGGGCTGGTCGCTGCACACCCATATCCGTTAATGGGGGTCTTGCTCACTGCAGGCCACACTGCTGGCTCACGGGGCCTCAGGGTCCAGGGTCTCCAAGCATCAGGACGAGAGCAACCCCCAGCCTTCTGGCTGCAGAAATACCCTCAGGGCAGCAGGGAGCGTTTTGTCTCCTAAGTCGGCAGAGGCCGCACTTGGTCCGCAGACAGGACGGCTGGCCGGGCACGGCGAGGGGCCGGGCAGGGGACAGTGCGGTCCGGCAGGGCTCACACCTCACCCGCGTCTGGGGTTGGCAGACCGGCGGGGTTTGTAGTTGCGTTGGCACCCGGGTGTGCGTCCATGGTGACGCCAGCTGGGCGGGCGGGGCAGAGGCTGGCCCAGCAAGCAGAGAACCTCGATGCTGGTGCCTAAAAGTTAGCCGGCCCCTGTGAGCCACGCCACGGCAGGCCCCTCTTCACCCTGCTTGGCCGCTTCCCGAAACGTCAAGGGGGGGGGGTGACATTCAAGCACAAGCGTCTGTCGCAGCCGTGTTTAACCGAGGGAGCAAAACGAGGCTCACCATGCAGATGTGTTCAGTGGCTGGGAAAACGGATCAGAATACGTCTACACGGCAGAGCCTAAGCAGCCAGTAGATGCTGAGGTGCCCAGGGGTCTCTTAAAAGACCCAAGCAGGATAAAGCAGTAAAACGTGGCAGATCAGAGGTCGAGGAAGGGCGTCAGGAAGGCCCAGGGCCCGGGCGCCGAGCAGGAGGGGCGTGCGGTCAGGAGACGGTGTGGGCACTTCCCTGTGTGATTTGTGTTCTTTTTCTTTAGGCGTCAAACCTAATGAACAATCCGCAGGTTCAGCAGCTGTAAGTGACAACCACGCTCCTTCGGGTCTGGGGTTAGATTTCTTATCGTGACAAGACGCACCTGCCGTAAAGCCTGCCCGTTTTAACCATTTCAGGGTTTACAGTGCGGTGGCGTTAAGTACATTCACGGTGTTGTGCAGCCATCACCGCCATCTAATTCCAGAACATTCCGTCACCCCAAAAGAGTCCTTGTCCCCATCAGCCATCATCCCCGCAGTCCCCGGCCCCCATGAAACCCCTCCCTGTCCTAGACGTGTCACACACATGGACTCACACACCGTGGGGCGTCCTGTGTCTGGTCCCTCCCGAGCATCGTGGGCTCGGTTCTGGGTCCATGTCCAGCAGCAGAATCTCTGGGTTGTGTGGTGATTGTGTTTAACTTAGTGAACACCTGCCCGACTCTGGTCAAGTCCTAAAACACAGCTTCTCATCCACTCACTGCTGACGTTGGGGCGGATCCCTCTGGGGGGCGTCTGGGGCGCTGTGGGGGCAGGCCAGCACCCCAGATGTGACCCGTGTCCCCTGGCTGAAGACCTCTGTCTTTAGGCCAGAAACCAAGGCTGTTCTGAGTGAGCTGTTGGCATCACAGCAGCCGCCGTCGGGGCGGGGGGGGCGGCCGTGGCTCTGGGCCTCGGGGCTGCCGTGAAAGGGCAGGGACGGCGGGAACGGGAGGGCTGAGATGTCTGCCACATCGCGGGCTCTCCTTGCAGCATGTCCGGGATGATTTCGGGCGGCCACAACCCCCTGGGGACTCCCGGCACCAGCCCCTCACAGAACGACCTGGCCAGTCTCATCCAGGCGTGAGTAGACCCCTTACTGGCCCTCGGGGGTGGCAGCGAGGGCCTGCCCAGGACCGTGAGAACGTGGGTGCCGTGTGCCCGGGCTCTCCGCTGGACCCCGTGGCCTCCGGTGGGGGGCGGGTGCCGGGAGAGTGGCCAGGAGGGCGCCCGGGCCTTCCGGCTCAACTGGGCACGCCTCTCCCGCAGCGGCCAGCAGTTCGCCCAGCAGATGCAGCAGCAGAACCCAGAGTTGATAGAGCAGCTCCGAAGTCAGATCCGAAGTCGGACCCCCAGTGCCAGCAACGACGACCAGCAGGAATGACCGCCCTCGTGAGTGCTCTGTGCGTCCTGAGCGCCGATTTGACGGCCCTGCGACCTCAAGGCCGGGCGGGTCTCCGTGGTGGGGGGCGCCCAGGATCATCGCGCCCCTTCCCGGCTGTTTCCGTGGCACCCTGTTCCTTCCTGGTTGCATGTGGGTGGGCTCGTCACTGCGCTGGGTTTTGCGTAGCCGACGGCTGACATCCCACTGCTTCCCTGCAGGGCCGCAGCCTGAGCGCCAACAGGCAGTGTTTGTGCAGAAAGCCCCCGACGGCCCCAGCGATGGCCAGCAGGGTCCCTGGGAGGGAGGCCAGCAGGCCCACCCGGGTTCCCCTGGGCGGGGGGGGGGGGTTGCTGTAAGCCTGTGTTACTGCAGGATTGCAGGGAAACAGACTGGGGGGCCCGGGGGGCCCAGTGCCTGTGCTGGCTTGGGCCCCTTGGGCGTCCCGGGAGATGTGCCTCCTGGCACAGTGGCTTTCCCACCCAGGAGACTTGGGCATCGTTGTCCTCCCGTTTCTCCTTTGACCATGATTTTCTACTAAAAATTTAAAGGGCAGGGCGCCTGCCTGGCTCAGTCCGCAGAGGCTGTGACTCCTGATCTCATGAGTCATGAGTTCGAGTTCCGTGTGGGGTGTACAGATTACTAAAAAATAAACTTAAAAAAAAATAGTTTAAGTTTTAAAAGCCAAAAACACGGAGCAGCAGGAAAAACAACTTCGAGCTCTGCCTGCAGCAGCGCGCATTAATCACTTGGGCACATTTTTTCCAGCCTTTTTTTTTTTTTCTCCAAAGTACTCTTAAAAAAAACAATAACAAAACCTCATTGAGATCAGTTTTGCGTTTGTTACGTGATCGCCAACCTTCCCCATCCTCGGCCCCACAACCTGCGGCGATGTTCTGCGTCCACAGTGACGCTGGGGCCGCGGCCTGACCCGCCGCCTCGTGTCTTCTCCCCGCAGCCCTCCCAGTGCCGCCAGCTCCTTCCCACCGACTGGAAGCCGTCTCGCATTTTGCCGTCTTCTTCCCTTGGACCGCCTGAGAGAGAAACAGAAACAGAAATTGGACCCGCATGTTAAGATGGATTTTTATTGCTCCCTCCGCCCCCCTCCTCCCCGTTTGTAGTCTCCCACGGCCCCCAGACCCTTCTCGAAACAGAGCCAGCAAGCTGTGAACGCAGACCAGCACTGATCTCTCCTGGCCCCCGAAAACCCAGTCAGCAAAAGTATTTTCTAGACTGTTCCGAGGCGGGGGTCATCCTCAAGCCACTCTCCAGGAAGCAGCCAGTTTTGTGTCGAGCCACGTCGGGGACACCCGTGGCTCCCAGAGCCCCTTTCTGCAGCCCCACGGTCTGTCTTCAAAGGGCCTCCGCAGCCCTGTGAGAAGCCACTTCTGCGTGGACCGTGGCCTGCCCAGCCGCGCCCTGCTCGGATGAGCTCACTGCCAGCCGCGGTCTGGGCACCAGGGTCCGCCCTGCCCCTCGGACCGCGGGTTTTCGCGTGAGGAGCTCTTCAGAGGCATTTTCCTACGAGACGATTTCCGTGGCCTGGCTCCCCGGTTGGGAGCAGGGGCGGGACCATCCTGGGGTGCACGGGACCAGGTACTGGGACTTCTTCCATTCGAGCATTTTGATGGACACGCGTCTCATCTCTGATCCTCTTATCCCAGTACTCCTGACCGACCGACCCCAAGGGGCGGATCACGACCTTGGGGCCCGTCCCCAGCTGGGCGTCCAGCGCACCCCCTTCGGCCCACGGGCGATCCTGCCGGCCGGCCTGTCTGGGTCCTTGGCAGGCTCTCGGCCTGTTTGGGGCTGGGGGGACCGGCAGGGGCTCCTGGTGCCACCCGCCTTGGCCTGACATTGCCACGTGGCCACCAGAGCTGCTTCCAGGGCGGGCAGGCCTGCCAGCCGTGACCAGGCGGCCTGCCCAGGACACGAGGCCACCGTGGAGATCCCCACGGCCTCTGCTGGGGCGGGATGGGGGGAGGGCAGGTCTGCTGGCACCAGTGTTGGCAGCTGGCTCGTGGGAGGTCCCCTGGTGGTCCCGGCCGTCTGCGAGGTAGATCCAGTACTGTGTGTTGTAGGTAACTAGTAGGGAGACGGCCGCTGCCCGCCACCCGCAGTCCGTCACGCGTCTGGCGAGATGTGTCCTGACTTGAGTGCTAGCCATGGTGACAAGCAAAACGTGTGGGGAATAAATAGACATCACGACCTCTGCTCTGCATTGACCTCTCGCCCCCGCCCCCCACCGTCCTGCCCCAAGTTTCCAGAAACCCTCAGCCTGGAGCTCCCACCTCAGGCACGTGCTGGGGGTCAGTCCTGCCGATGATGGACACAACGGAAACGGTTTCCGGGTCAGAGGTCACGGACGGTTCCGGGCTTGTCCTGTATCTCTCCTCTTGTCACCATCCCACTTGCTCCAGGGGCCAGCCTGGACTCCGGGCTGCGGACGGGGCCGTGAGGCTGCCCCATGTTCTATTCCAGTATGTTCTGAGGGAACATCCGGTCTCCGTCGGGTAACCCACGGCACCCCCCTTACACCTGCTGCAGGTGAGGGAAGCGGTCCCGGGAGCCCAGAGCTTCCCGGGCTGGTCCTCGCCCCCTCGCAGGGCGCTGTGCTGGGGGGAAGCCCTGTGCCCGAGGGCGCGAGATGGCGGGGAGCACCCCGCCTCGTGAGGGTGAGATGGGGGGGCAGGCCGGCGGGTCCTGGGGCGCACGGGGTTCCTCCGCGGGCTCGCCGCGCGATCCTGCCCCAGGGAACGCTGGTCTGATTCGGGGACGTCTGTGCCGTCAGGACTGGGTGCTCCTGGACACGTCTGGGTGGGGGTCAGGGACACGGTGCGGCCCCCGCCAGCCCAGCCTGCGACCCTGACTTCGCTCAGCCACCCCCCCCCCCGGGTTCTGCACTTGGCACAGCAGCCCGCGTGATGCGGGTGCACCTGCTTGGAGGTCCCCACCCAGGAGCGCGGGCGGGCGCTCGGACGTGAGCCACGCGTTCCAGAAACCTCCGTGCGTTTTAGGTCTTCCCAGATAATCTCCTTGCTCCTGCCCGTGCGTCAGTCACCGAGCGGCCCAGCACGCGTCCTCCGTCCTCCGACGTCACTTCACACCCGCCTAAGTGTGCGGGAAGGATCCAGAAACTTTCTGTTGGAACTGCCGGCAGAGTGGGAAGAGGGGAAGGGAGGGAGTAGCTGTCAACGTCTCATCCCAGAAGCTGGCAGCTCCCCATGCGACTTGACGAGACGTGTGTCACAGGTAATAACCGCTCGATCCCACGCGAGGTAGAAATAGGCTCTTCCTGAACGTTCCTGTCAGGTGCGTTGAGAGGGAAGGAAAACTCGGCCGTTAAACGCGGCGTTCGCAGAAGACGTGACCCGAGCAGGCCTCCAGGAGTAGGTGGAGCCGGGATGCGAGGTGCTGCCGCAGCCAGGTGGGTGGGCGGCGGACGCCGGTCGGGGTCATCACAGCCCGGGGCTCCTGGCGTCAGGATGCAGCTCAGCCCCCTGCAGCCCCAGGCCGAGGCCCCCCGCAGCCCTAGGCCGAGGCCCCCCACCCCCGCGGGCAAGAGCAGCCCGTTGACCAGCTCTGGAGGCCGGACAGCCTGGAAACCCCAAACCCGCCGGCCTTCCCAGCACCCCTCACCCCTGCTCCATCCGAAAACCAGTTATTTCCAAGTGGCCCTCGGAGATGAGACGCTGGGGCCACCAGGTGGCGCGCCGGTGCCGCGGCCTCCCGAGGCCTCCATCCCTGGCCGCTGGCGTGTGGCCTCCGACCAGAGGAACGAGCGCCTCCGGCGAGTCCTGAACCGCCCGGGCTGGAGCCTAGGAGCGGCCACGGTCCGAGGGATCGGGCCACCATCCCGCGTGCCTGAGAGCGCGAAGCCCTTCCAGGCGGGGGCTGGTGGGATGGGGGGGCGGGATCCGTCCTTCCCTCTCTCGTTCCCACGCTGCTCGCGCCCTTCATCAAAGCCTAAGTGCGTGGAAGTGCACAGCTTGATGGGTTCCACAGCGAGGGCGCCCCTGTCGTTGACACCCAGACCAAGAAGAGAGCCCAACCAGCACCCTTGTCCTGCCCCCACACTCACTGCCACTTAAAGGGTAATACTCCCCCAGCGTTTACTGCCATGGGTTAGTTGTGCCTAGTTTTGATATGCATACAATGAGATCTAAAAAAAAAAAAAGGTAAAATTATAAAAATCATAGAAAGTTTACAATATGATTTGGAGTAGGCAAATTGAAGAGAACAAACCACTGGGATAGTTAATTTTACGTGTCCACGTGGCCGGGCCACAATACCCAGATACCCAGATACTTGGTCAAACACCAGTCTATATGTTGCTGGGAAGATATTTTTTAGATGAGAGTAACATTTAAATTAGCTTTCAGTAGAACGGGTGACCCTCCACAATGCAGGTGGGTGGGCCTCACCTAACCAGTTGAAGGCATTCAGATGAAAAAAACAGTTCCCTCAAGATGGCCTTGGGACTGGAGCGAGTGAGTGTCAACTCTTCCTTGGGTCTCCAACCTGCCTGAGTGGGTGAGGCCATTTGCAATCCGTATTTGACAAAAAAAATATAAAAAACTACAAATCCAAGAGGAAAATACAACCCGATTTTTTAAATGAGCAAAACACAGGCCTTTCAAAGAAAAACAGGATATGCAGTTAGGCCGTAAGCATATGAAAAGAGCCTCAATTCCGTTAGCTACCTGAGGAACATTATTAAACCGATAATGTAAGACGAATACACCAGAAGGGCTAGAATGACCAGACGAAGCAAGTGCTGCTGTTACAGAGCTGCATCCGGGCCCCCAGGACCGGCCCCAGGTGCGGGACATGCCGGGGGCCCAGGGCTCAGCACACACTCAGCCCCGTGGCCCTGCCTTACACGGAGAGGACGTGAAGCACATGAGCTCAGGGCAGAGGCCTGGGGGGCAGGGCGGGGACACCGGGCTCCAGCTCCCAGGGTCCTCCCCCAGGTGGCCCACAGGACCCGCTCAGTTCCCCCAACACGAGCCGTGACCGCGCGCATGAGGCGTGGTCTCGGGGGGCCTGGGAGAGACCCGGCGCCCAGGTTCTCTGTGGCGGTCGGTCTTGTGGGGCCCTCTGCCTGCCTCGGCCAGGACCCCAGGCTCAGGAGGGCAGCAGGTGCTCAGCACAAACCCTACGTTTATAGAGACAACTTAGGGACCCAGAGCCCCCTGTCGGTGACGAGGGCACAAACCCCTGTGTCTAGGTCCCAGATGCCACTGTGAGCTGTTGCAAGCTGCCTTCCGGGGAGAGCAGGCTCAGGTCACTGTGCTCTCTTCTGCACCAAAGGGGAAGACTGGGCTGTATGAAGTCTGAGAACCAAGTGTTTGCACCCCTGGGACCCCGATGTACACCACCAGCCGTGGACACGTGCCCAACAGCCACGTGAATGCGTGGCCGCCCGAAGACACCCGGAGGCATGGCCAGAGTGGCCAGAGCAGGGCCGTCAGCCAACAGCCAACACCAGAAACTACCCAGATGAGCCGGGAGCAGGAGGGAGTGGAGGGGGAAGGGGCAGGAGGGAATCTGCAGGGGTGCAGGTCACGCCCACTCTTGACCGCGACGGTGGTTTCATACGTCTACCACACACACGTCAAAGCTCACCGAGTTGAACACTTTAAATATGTGTCATTCCTTGTATGTAGATCGTTCTTCAATAAAGCTGTTAAAACGGCTTTATTTCATATTTCCATGATATTTATTCCCCTCTTGCGTTTTTTCTCCTGCGGGCTGCCTCTTCACTCCCTTCCCATTTCTATTCTAGGATGTTTGTTCTCTGTCAAGCGCTCCGCCTTCTCTCGTCAGCATTACCTTCTGGTCCGTCACTCGCTTAAGCCCACTCGTGGTGTCTTCCACTACGGGAGACCTTTGAAGTAGTCAGTGCACTCACATGTGGTGGGGTTTTTTTAAAGATCTTTTTTTTTAAGATTTATTCATGAGACAGAGAGAAAGAGAGAGGCAGAGACCTAGGCAGAGGAAGAAGCAGGCTCCCTGTGGGGAGCCCTATGTAGGACTCGATTCCAGGACCCCAGGATCACGCCCTGAGCCGAAGGCAGACGCTCAAGCGCTGAGCCACCCAGACATCCCATGTTTTTTTTCCCTCTGGTACCCTGAAGATATGTGCTCATACACAGGCCCTGGAGCCTCAGATGCTTTCAAAAATACATCCCTCTCTGAGCAACCTCATTCTCTAAATAACTATGGAAAAATATTGGGCATCATGAATTCTTTTATAGGAAGGTGTCACCCTGTGGGCAGCTACCTGGTGTGCACTCATTAAAAACAATCTTCTTGTTGCTGTGAATTATGAAACTAGGGAAAGACTCAGCATAATAATAAATTGTGTAATAATAACAAGGAGCCACCACATATTATGTGCCTGTAATGAGGAAGGCAGAAATTGGCATTAAATGTTGAGAACTTGGGCAGCCCGGGTGGCTCAGCGGTTTAGCGCCGCCTGCAGCACAGGGCGTGATCCTGGAGACCCAGGATCAAGTCCCACATCGGACTCCCTGCATGGGGCCTGCTTCTCCCTCTGCCTGTGTCTCTGCCTCTCGCTCTGTATCTCTCATAAGTAAATAAAATAAAATCTTTAAAAGAAATAAATGTTGAGAACTTACAGATATCTCCTACTTAGCCTCTGCAAAGTCCAACTCAGCCCTCCAGCACCTCCAGGATCTGTACCTCCTCCAGCCTTCCCTATTTTAGTGAACAACACCAACATCCATCTAATCGCTCAAATCATACAACTAGGAGACGTCACCCTGACACCTCCTACTCCTGCAACCCACCCAGACAAACCAGTGCTGGGTCCCGCCAATCCACCCTCCATCCTGGTTCCTGCATCTCCTCTTTCTCTTCGTGGTATTGCCTACAGTCTGGGCGCTCAGCCTCAGGGTCTCCCAAAGTCTACAATCAAGGTGCCCACTAAGAGGCAGTCACCTGACGTCATGCCTGGGGCTGGACTCCCTTCCAAGACCCCTCATGCTGTCTTGGTTGGCAGGATTCAGTTCCTTACTGGCTCTTGCCCTGAGGGTCTTACCCTCTTGCTGACTACTGGCTAGGGGTCATCCTCAGTTCCTTGCTGTGTGGACCTCAACATCGCAGCTTCCTTCATCAAGACAGCCAAGAGTTGTGCTAGGAAGACAGAAGTCCGCATTTTTGTAACCTAATCCTGGAACTGACACCCCAATGCCTTGCCATATTCTATTTGTGAAAATCAAGTCACCCGGGGCAGCCCACACTCAAGGAGAGGGAATTACACATAGGCATGAATACTAGGATGTGGGATCGTGTAGGACCATCTTAGAAATCTGCCTACTGCAGTATGCTACTATTTCATTAACACTTGGCTCCCACACTAGATGAACTGTGAGGACATGGGGTTCGCTTTTTGCTCCATTAATTGTTTTAAATCTTTAAACTGTGGTGAGATATACATAAAATTAAAATTGCCACTTAACCATTTCTAGGTGTACAGCTCAGGGCACGAAGCACCCTCACCCTGCCGTGCACCCACCCTCACCACCGTCTCCGGAACCTTCATCTCCCCACACAGAGACCCTGTCCCCAAGAAGCACTGACCCTCCGCCCCCTGCCCCACCCCTGGCTCCCACCATCTCCTCTCTGTCTCTGTGGACGGGCTTGCTCTGGGGAACTCTGGGAGTGGGGTCCTGCAGGAGGCGTCCTTCTGGGTCTGGGTTCCTCGGGGTCTGTCCACATTCTAGCATTCCCCCCTTTATTCTTAGCAGCTCTCTCCATGCCTGGCCCCTAGTAGGCTGACCACAAGATTTTATTTTTTGTTAATTATTTTATTTTATTTAATCGTGAGAGGCAGAGACACAGGCAGAGAAAGAAGCAGGCTCCCTGTGAGGAGTCCGATGTGGGTCTTGATCCCGGGACTCTGGGATCACGTCCTGAGCCAAAGGCAGACCAGACACTCAACCACTGAGCCATCCAGGCGTCCCTAACCATAAGATTTTGACTAACAAACGAATAAAGTCTTCATTACACTGGTTGCTTTTAAAGGGCATGACTTTTTTTTTTTAATGTTACCTTGTCTCCATCTTAAAAAAAAAATCAATGATTTTCGGTGTTCATCTTACTTGACCTATTGGGAGCATTGACCCAATAACCAAATGACTGCATTAAAACACATCAGATCTGTCACATCTCTGATCAAAACTCTGCAATTGCTCCCTGTTTCCCTCCAAAACCTTTTGTGACCTACCTCCTCTTACCTCCAAATTCACTTCCCCACATCACTGTGCTTTGGGCACATACACGATCTCGCACACGCCTGCCTCAGGTCTCCCTACTCTCAGCCCCTTATGCGTGTCACAGTTTGCCTCCACGTTGGCAAGAAGTGGGTTGCCACTGGACCAACATCTCCACATTCATCTTTGCTCAAACATCTCTCTAGGAGGCCTATTTGAGCATCTTACTTAAAATAGCAACCTGTGCCCAGCACTTTGGTAGCCTCTCCAGGGATGTTATCCCAGAGCATTTGATACCTTCTGACATAGTCGCATCACTTATTTCGTGTATCGATCATTTTCTGTGTCTTATGTCTTGTCCTAGGATGTAAGCTCCAAAGGAGGGGTGGGTGGAAGGAGCAATCTTTGTTTGGCTCACAGGTGTTCTGGAAAAAGCCCCAGGAATGTTGAGCAGCTGAATCTGCGTCTTAAGCTGACGGCGGGGCCTCAGCATCGTGGATGCTCGGGGAGGGACAGTTTCTCCCGTCGCGGTTGGCCAAGCCTCCATTCGAGAGGCATTCAGCACCAGGCGCCCCTGGACAGCTCTGGAAGCCAAGTCCCAGCGGAACCATTCTTCCAAGGCCCGGGTTTCCCGCCGGAGCCTCCTGCTGGCTGTACCTACCGCTCAGCAAGAGGAAACTACTTTCCCGTGCTGGTAGGCGAGGTGGGCGGGGTCGCAAGGTGAGTGGCAGCCACCGCAGCCAATGGCACGGCGCCTTCAGCCCGTGGCTCCCGGGATGGCCAATGGGCAGGGGCGTGGGCGGGGCGTGGGCAGCCGCGCGCGGAGCCGGGGCTGGAGCGGTGCGCGGCTGTGGGGTCGAGACCGCGCGGCGGTTGAGCGGCGGGAGGCGGCGGCGGGCGGGCGAGGGCCCCGCGGAGGTGCGTGCGGGCCGGGGCGGGGGCCGGGCCGGGCCGGGGCCGGGGCCGGGGGCGGGCGGGGCGGGGCGGGGCCTGGCCGGCTGGGCCGCCCGTTAGCCGAGGCCGGGCTGCGGCGCCCGCTGCTGGTTCCCGGTTTCCCCGCGAGCTCCGCGCTGATTTGCTGCCGACTCCGCAAGCGGAGCGCGAGGGCTCCCTCTCGGCCTCGCCCCCCCCGCGGGGCGCCGGGTGCAGCGTGGTGCACACAGCAGGCGCCCAATAGGTGCTGGGGGACGAACGAATGAACGAGCCGGTGACTCCTGGTCGCAGCCCCGGTGCTGAGAGCGCACAGCCTCCCCCCCGCCGCGACCCCCAGTGCACGGACGGGGGCATCGGGACCCCCCGGCAGGTGTCTGCTGGGCGCCTCCCGCTACCTGGTTCTGTGTACCTGGCTGTGTCCTGGATGCTGGGGTCGGGGTCGGTGTCCGGGTCCCGGGGTGGGGGGGTCCCACTCGAGCCCTCAGGAAGCGAGTGCATTCAGGGGCTCTAAGTGATGTCGTTTCCTGCAGCACAAATGATGCCGGCACGTAATGCCCGGGAAGGGGGCAGCCAGCCAGTGGCATTGGGGCCGACACCTGGAGACCTCTGTGAGGGCGGACGTGGGTAGTGAGGAATGGGAGGGAAGGGGGCACCGTCAGGACAGAGGAGCAGCCGGGGGCCCTCCTACTGGGGGTGAGGTTTTCCAGTCCCGGGCGACATCTGCTCCTCTTGGGCTCACTGAGGTCCACGTGCTCCGGCTCACCTGTTCATTTCCCAGTGGTTACGGAGCATCTCTTCTGCACCAGGCCTCGTGGTGGGTACAAGGCATACAGTTAGGGCAGAGGTCAGCCAGGGATGGGAGGCCCTTCCAGGGCATCCTGGGGGCAGCGACCTAAAAGACAACACCTCCTCGAAAGGGCGGTCGGTGGGGGGGAAGATGTGTTCCAGGCCAAGAGAACAACCTGTGCAAAGGCCCTGAGGTGGGAACAGGCTGGGCCTACTTAAGGACCACGAAGGCCCGTGTGGGGTGAGGGGAAGCGGAGGCTGACGGTGCAGAGCCTTCGCTACCGGGTGTGCTGCTTGGTTTTACGGAAGGGCGGTGGGAAGCCAGTGGAGCAGCACCGCCCCGTAGAACATTCGGCAACAATGGAAATGTTCTCTGTCTGTGGCATCCCGAATGGTCGCTACTGTGCTTGTGTGGGTGCTGAGCACTTGAAATATGGTTGGTGTGACCAAGGAGCTGAAGTTTGCCTTTTGTTTGATCTTAATTAGTTCAAACAGACAGGCATGGCCAGTGATTGTCATATTGGAGAGCAGAGGCGTGGAGAACTTTCTGCAGGGGGCAGTGATATGTGCCAGGCCCCGCATGGAGTGAAGCACTGGGGTGGTGGTCTCGGTCGCCAGGGCTGGTCAGATAACCCAACAAGCTGACGTGGTCGCCCCTCGTGTTCACAGTGGCTGCACGCAGGCATGAGCCCCCGGCTGCGTGGTTGGGCCCGGTAGCACACCGTGGGACGGGAGTGTGTGCCCCACACATGGTTTGGCCCTGCAGCGACCAGAGCAGTCCGGGCCGCCACCATGATGAAGCTGTTGGTGGCCAAAATCCTTTGCATGGTGGGCGTGTTCTTCTTCATGCTGCTTGGCTCCTTGCTCCCCGTGAAGATCATCGAGACGGATTTTGAGAAGGCCCATCGCTCAAAAAAGATCCTCTCACTCTGCAACACCTTTGGAGGCGGGGTCTTTCTGGCCACATGCTTCAATGCTCTCCTGCCAGCCGTGAGGGAGAAGGTAAGGGCTCCCCGCTGGTAGACTTGACCCTGCACGGGGGACAGGAAAGGAATTTGCTGTGTGACCCTGGGTTAGTCGCTTCTCTTCTCTGGGCCTTAACCTGGTAAACAGGGGATTTGAACCAGATGTGGGCTTCCCAGCTGGTGAACCCACCTGTTTTACCTGAGTAGGCCGCCCACGCTGGGGAGCATGCACTTTGTCCCTGAGGCCGGCGGTTTGGGCCTCCCCTCGACACCTGTATCAGTTAGCTACTGCTGCATAACAAGTGGTAACAGTGTCAGCGTCTTAGCACAGTGCCTATTTATTATCTCATGGTTTCTGCGGGTCGGGAGTGTGGACACCACTTAGCTGGGTCCTCTGCTCCAGGCTGTCATCAGGCAGCATTCCCTGGGCCGTGGTCTCATGTCAGGGCTTGACAGGTCATCGTAGTGGTAAGTCCATGTGGTGGGGAGGCAAGTTCAGTTCCCTCCCTGTTGTTAGACCACCAGCCTCATTTCTCCCTGGCCGAGGGCCACCCTCGGTCCCTGGGTGCCCGGGCCCCCAGCATGGCACTGTCTTCAACAGCAAGCCGTGGGGTGCGTGGGGTGCCTGGGTGCAGAGCTGCGAGCTGACAGGTTTCTATTGTTTTCCACTGCCCGCTCTGTGTTCCTTCATTACAGAGCGTGGGAAGCTCACACAGATGGCATCCCTGGGGGTAGGATCTCCGAGTCCTCCCCGAGGCCGTCTGTGCTCCCAGGGCCACTTCCAACGCTGCCTCCCCCCCCCCCACCCCATTCTGCACTTTCTCACGCCTCACCCCTCATCACACTCCCGCCTCAGGCCCACTGCTGTGATGGCCCTGCTCCTCCTGACCCCTTCAGTGCACGTGGCACTCTCATCCCTCTCGTGGTCCTCCCCAAAACACTCCACTCTGCGCCCCTGCCTACACTGAAGCCTTGGTGGGTCAGGTCCCCACCCCCCCCCCACAGATAGTGGCACAGGAGCTGTGGCCTCTGTGTGTCTGCCTCGTCTCTCCTGATCAGAGGATCGGATCCGTGTGTGTCCGTCAGGAGACAGTGGGTGTTTTCCAGGCTGGAGCACACGCGGGCCTTCTGGAGATGCCTAGCAAATGAATGAAATGGCTTTTCTACAGAACACAGCCTTCTGCGGCAGGGGTTCCCATGCCGGGACGATCCTGTGCGCTGGGGACACCGAGGGAGGGCAGGTCACTGGGTCAGGTCTCACCTGGGCCAGTACTGGCCCCCCGGGACACTGGACGATGTTTGGGAACATCTGTGGTCCCCACAACTGGGGGTGCTCCTGGCAGAGGATGCTGTTGAACACCCCCACCTCCCTGCGGTGCCCAGGACGGCCCCCAACGGAGGATGACCCAGCCCTGGTGTCAGCGCTGCCCCCCACAAGTCTTCAGACATTGCCAGTGTGCCCTGGGTGCCGGGATGTGTGTGTGTGTCTGTGTGTGTGTGTGTGTGTGTACACGCGTTCCCAGGCTGTCGCGAAGGCTGTGATGGGAGAGAAAGGGGTGCTGTGAGCATAGCGTTGGGGTGCCGGCCAGGTGAAGCACTCGGGAATACCAGGCGCACCAAGACCCAAATCACGACCATCGAGCAGCCATAAGACCGGGGTGGGGGGTGCAGACAGCTGACGGCAGGTGCTGCCCACCCCGGGCTGGAGAGGCTTGCGGCGCACACACATCCCGGCGAGTCCAGGGAACATGGACCCAGCTCCGAGGAGTGCACCCCCAGCTCGCTGGGCCACGTCCAGCGCTGTGCTGTGTGGAGCGGCGGCCGCTCGCCTTGCCTGTCCAGTCCAGTTTCAGTGAATTAAAATGAAAACACGACTCAATAGGCGAGTCCTTGGCCACCCCAGCGGTGTTTAAGGTCCTTGTAAGGCACGTGTGGCTAGTGGCCTCCGTGTCAGCATGGACAGCACCTCCCTCACCGGAAAGCCCGGTTGGACGGCGCCGGGATCCGTGAGATGGGGCGCGGGTGCGGAGTCCCGCTCACTCCCAGCAGTTTCTCCCGGGAGGTCGGGGTGATGGGAAGACCTTGGGAAACGGCTGCGCCCTGTGTGCCGTGGGAGCCAACCCCGCACGGGCGTCGGGGCTGTGGAGGCTGGCTGGTGGCACAGTGATGGAGAGTCGGCCCCAAGCCGTTTCCCTGCTTCACGGGGTTGTCGACCATCGTGACCTGTGGGACATCACCCCGTCTCTGCCTCCGTGGTCAGGTGCCCGTCTCCCAGTGTATCTCTGTGCGTCCCCTCCTCTTGTGTCCTGGGTCAGGATGGTGTGTCGTCTCAAGATCCTTATCTCCTATGTGTTTCCCGGGGCCACAGAGCAAAGTGCCTCAGGTGGAGCAGCCTGTCCATGGGGAGACCGGGGCTCCACGAGGAAGGTGCTGGTGGGCCTGGGTCACTCTGAGGCCACCGGCCTTGCCATCCTCACGGGGTGGTTCCCGTAGGGACTCCGGTCCTGGTGGGGCAGGGCCCAGCCTAGCAGCCTCACTCTGCCCGAATCACCTCTTTACAGAACCTTTCTCTAAGGAGGGTTAGTTTTGAAATTCTGGGGGTTTGGAGGCTTGAATATATGAATTTTTGGTGGGGGACACAATTCAGCCCATAATACCCTAATTATATCTGCAAAGACCCTCCTCCCAAATAAGGTCATGTCCTGCGGTTCCAAGTGGACGTATCTTTAGGGACCAGAATCCAGCCCTGCTTGCGCTTGATTGTTATTTGGCTGATGTAGTGGATACAGCATGAAGCTCACGGGCCCTTTGTAGCAGGGTTGTGTGTTTGTTTGTTTTCAAATCCAGCGAGGGTGAGCCCACCTTCCCCTTTTTCTGGCTTCTCATGTGAAGTAGGTGTTTCTGTGCTTTGCTAATCAAGTGGTGATACCTCCCAACCCCTGTTGCGTTGGTGGCTGGAGCCCAGGCTGCCCGCTCTGAAGCCCTCTCTCCCTCCCTCTCCTCTCTTGCACATGTTCTGCTCCAGCTCCAGAAAGTTCTGAGTCTCGGGCACATCAGCACTGACTACCCACTGGCCGAGACCATCGTGATGCTGGGCTTCTTCATGACCGTCTTCCTGGAGCAGCTCATCCTGACCTTCCGCAAGGAGAAGCCATCCTTCATCGACCTGGAGACCTTCAACGCTGGCTCCGATGCCGGCAGTGACTCGGAGTACGAGAGCCCCTTCATGGGGGGCGCGCGGGGCCACGCGCTCTATGCAGAGCCCCACGCCCACGCCCACGGGCTGAGTGTCCAGGAGCTGTCGCGCTCCAGCCCACTGCGCCTCCTCAGCCTGGTGTTTGCCCTGTCGGCGCACTCCATCTTCGAGGGCCTGGCCCTGGGCCTGCAGGAGGATGGAGAGAAGGTAGTGAGCTTGTTCGTGGGGGTGGCCATCCACGAGACACTGGTGGCTGTGGCCCTGGGCATCAGCATGGCCAGGAGCGCCATGGCCCTGAGGGACGCGGCCAAGCTGGCCGTCACCGTCAGCGCCATGATCCCCCTGGGCATCAGCATTGGCCTGGGCATCGAGAGCGCCCAGGGTGTGCCCAGCAGCGTGGCCTCCGTGCTGCTGCAGGGCCTGGCGGGCGGCACGTTCCTCTTCGTCACCTTCTTCGAGATCCTCGCGAAGGAGCTGGAGGAGAAGAGCGACCGTCTGCTCAAAGTCCTCTTTCTGGTGCTGGGTTATGCCATCCTGGCCGGCATGGTCTTCCTCAAGTGGTGAGGTGCCCATCGCCCGCCCACCGGACCCAGGTGACCCCCCACTCCCCTCCCCCGAAGCGGGGGAGCTCAGGCCCTGGCCCCACCTGTGCACAGATCCGACACCCTGAGCCTGGGGCACAGCAACTACTTTTAAAAATACTTCTCTTAAAATTATTTACCAAAGCTGTGTGGCCATGTCATCCTCTGGCATCGGGATCCGGTGACTCAGGAGGCAGGGCCGGGCGTCCAGATGGGGTCGGGCTGGGACCCTCCCCCACACGCTCCCACCTGTGGACAGGACGGGGGTGGGGCCTGTCTGAGCCGCCGAGCCCATCCGGAGGCTTGAGACTTCTGTCCTCTGCTCCCTGGTGGCTCTGTGACCGGCAGAGGAGCCCAGCAGCGTGGAGTGGCCACTGGAGATTGCACAGGGAACCCTGGGCTCCTGCCACCTGGGGCAGGGCCTCCAGGGGTACTGGCGGGGTCCCCGGCACCTCCCAACTTCCCTGACTTCCTCGGCTTCCCTGCCTTCTGGTGCGCCTCCTCCCCCACTTGGTGGGCCAGGTGAGCCTGTGGGTTCTTTGAGGGAACAGAGGCCCACGGAGATGTGCAGGTGGGGCCACTGGCCAGCTTGGCCAGTGGTTCCCAGCCCACTGTCCCCAGGGTGAGGCGGACTTCAGCAGGCTGTGGGACAGGGGCTGCACCCCACGGTCCCCCCTCTCCCCCCACCCTGCCCCAGACACACACACAAACAAAGCCAGAACCTGCCTCTGGGGGTACGGAGCACAGGGTGATTGGGCCTGGCACAAACCCTGGGCACCGGCTCTGTGGCAACCTTGTGTTTAACTCGCCCGTTGTCGCAGCAACCCTGAGGCCCGGCTCCGGGGACGGGCGTCTGGGTGAAAACCTCTCCTGGGGGATTTTGCTGCATCTGGCTGGAAGCCCGTAGGGGCGCCCCAGGAGGGAGTGCGGCCCGTGGCCTGGGCTGGGCTCTCGCTGCCTCGGCCTCCCGGCCTCCATCGTGGGCTCCCTGCCCACTCACCCGGCCACATGGCTGCAGGCGCACGCCACGTGCCTTCCTAGGACCCTGCATTCCCGCCTCTGCTCACTCCTTGCCTGCAGGACCTCCTGGCGAGCTCAGGCCCCTTCTGCCCCGGGGCCCTGGGCCTGGTGGGGCCTCTGGTCCCCCACTCCAGCCCCATGGACTCCCGGGGGCTGGCCTGCCACCACCACTCAGCCCCTCCTAGCACGAGGCCACACAAGCTTTGCGATTGCCTTCAGTTTTGTTGTAAGAGGCCGGGGGAGCAGGGAAGTGTATCCGAGAGCCTTGACTTCTGCTCAGCCTGCCCCCACCCAGGGCAAAATTGTCAGCCCTGTGGCTAGAAACTGACTTTTCCTGGGGACCCATCTCCAAACCCCATGTGGCCTGACCCTGTCCCCCTGCTGGGAAAGTGACCCCCATGGGTTTGGGGACATCATCCTTCCTGCTGTGTCCCAAAGCCAGTGTCGTCAGCCTGTGCCCGCCACCACTCCACTCCATCTGGGAACTGGAAGGTTCTACCCATTTGGCCCTTTCCTTGAGTGGGCGGGTCACTGGAGCCACCAGGTTCTGCAGCCTGCCTTCATGTGGGCTGGGGCAGCCTCCGCACCAGGGGCCTCCGCTCCGCGCTCCCCCGTTGTTGCCAAAAGCACACACACAGCAGGGTCCCTACCCTCCTACCAGCCATCAGCTCCCAGGGATGGCCCTGGGGACCCTGCAGCCCAACCACCCCCCTTGCCCCCACTGATGGCTCCAAGGCCATGTCCCCCTCACCCCGGGCCCTGGAAGAGCACCACCACACCAGCAGGGAGACTTGCGGGCCCCCCGGGCAGTCCTCACCACCCTAGTCTCCGGCGTCCTCACATCCTCTGCATCTGCGGGGCCGAGGCCACTTGCGGCCGACCTGCTCTCCCTAGGCTCCCACCAGCCCCAGCAAGCTGCTTCCAGGCGCCGAGGACCCTGGGGCCCTGAGAGGTGTGAGGGGACTGTGTGGCCACAGCAGCCCCCCATGGCCACTACCGGCTACCCCTCCTGTCTTCAGGTCAACCCTGGGTCCTGCTTGCCGAAGCTGCCACGGTTGGCCAGCCATGGGGGTGACAGTGTCTTGGTTTTGGTCAGCTTTCCCCATCGGGTGAGGGTCAGACCATCTCACAGGGAGATGAAGCGTGGCCATTCTGCCCTCAGGGGGACGCTTGGAGAAGCAGCTCTCACTCCTGGGGTTTCCTGGCCTCTGGTGGCCACGTCCGGCCTGGACCAGGGTCCCAAGGCCTGCCCAGCGGCTCCTTCCCCCCCCGCCCCCCCGCAGCTCAGACACAGGAGCCCTGCCACGTGGTGACAGAAGCTTTTCCTTGTATAAGACTGTGGATTGATCACCACCTGGCCCCGGATCAGCCCCTGTGCAAAACTGGACGTCAGCCACGAAAGGCCATCTGTACGCAACTTTGTAGCACTGAGGAAACGTCGTGTGGCCCGCCCCAGTGGACATCCCTGCCTCTTGCGGGTCTTTCGCTAACTCTGTGGTTCTCAGGGAGGTGATCCCCGGGGTGCGCTGGGCAGTGTCTGAGGATGTTCGCGGTGTCACACGCGGTGTCCTGGTGTCAAGTGGGTGGGACCAGGGACACGGCTCAGCCCCCATGGTGCCTGGGACGACTGGGCAGGGCAGGCCGCATGTCCTTAGTGCAGAGAGCGAGGGCCCGCTCACTGCTCCAATTCACAGGAAGTGATGGCGAGTCACTTAGCTTTGAGATCCTGTGCATGTGGGACAGAGGTGGTGGGGGTGGGGACACCTGGCAAGGGCTGGAGGCGCAGCTGCCGTAGTCCGGATGGGAGTGTGCCCCGACAGCACACACTGCCGTCTGTTTTCAAAGACCCAAACCCTCAGCACAGAACTCCAAGCGCCAACTCTGTCCGCGTGGACCTGGCTGAGCCAAGGCCCACCCACCCCCACCACTTGCTTGGTCCCAAGCAGGAAGGCCCCGGGCACCACGGGAGCTCTGCCTGGAGGAGGATCACCTTGGGACCAGGCTCCTGGCTCCAGTTGTGAGCCCCTCAGCCCTCGGAGGGCTGCCCCGCGTCGAGGCTCCGCTGCAGGCAACAGCGGGGTGGAGTCAACCAGATTCCCCTCCTCGATCTGGAAACAAAGGGGGAATTATGAGGCGGCATCGGCCTCGGGGATTGAATCAACCTTAATAACAGTGTGTCGGGGCTTCTGTTGTCTGCTGTTTGCATCTCTGGTGGAGAAGTCATTAGCGTGGGGCGGGGAGGCGGCGCACCGGTTCCAGCCCCCAGAGGCAGGCGGTGGATGGGACGGCGTCTCCCAGCCCGCGCTGCCCGCACACCTGCCTGGCCACCAGCTCTGGACCGTGGCCCTGCCGGGAAGAGGCATGCATCCCTCCTGTCCCAGCCTGGACTGCCTCCTAGCTTCTGGATGAAGCCAGTGGCCCGCCCGTCTGACCTTCCAGAACCCCCTGCAGGCGAGGAGGGGGCCGCTGCGAGGCTATAGTCCGTGAAGATGCAGGAACCCTTCTCTGGGCTGTTGGGTGCTAGAACCAGGGACTGGGGCAAGAGGGACCCCTCTGTGCCCCCTGCCACCCCGAAGGCCTGTGGCTCCCAGGGCTGGAACAGCCCAGCTGGCTGATGCGGAGCTCCAACAGAGCGCTGAAGCGATGGGTGGGGGCCGGCCTGGCCCAGCGGGGGGGGGGGGCCCCGGCTGGACAGGTGGGCGGTTCAGAGCCCCCACTTTGTGGGTGCACGGGAGGCATGGCCGGGTGCTGCGTTTAGACCAAAGAAAGCAGGCAGCGCAGTCCGCGGGCCTCCGCCTCTGGAACCAGCTGGGCCTCCCTGCGAGCACGTTCAGGCGCAGCCGCTCCAGCTGACCAGCTAGGGCAGGGTCTGCGCCTCGCACCACAGACATGCGGGCCGTCTCGCCGGTGGCGTGGGTGCGGGCTGTGAGCCCATCCTGGCTGGGGGCGGGGCTGCAGGGACCGCATCGCCACCCAGCCCCCGGGGGTGCTGATGCGCGATGCCAGGTCTCTCTCCCCCAGAACTGCTGACACCAGACTGTTCTGGACAGTGGGAGGGGGGCAGCATCCCTGGGCCCCGCCCACGTGATGCCAGGAGCACGTCAGTGGTGGCCACCGCAAGTGTCCCCAGACAAATATCCCAGAGTCCCCCTGGGGGCCCGGGGACCTAGGACGCAGGGCAGCTGGCCTGGTGCAGGAGACCGGGACACACCAAGGCATGGTGGGGGGTCAGCCAGCAATAGATGCGTTGGAGACTGAGAAAGCAGAGTGAAGGGAGGGAGACAAGGAAAATGCAAATGATTTTAATGATGGGCTCAGGGAGGAAATCCCTGGGGCCACATCGGGAGTCCTGAGGAGTTGGGGAAAGAGCTTTGCCAGCGAGTGGGGGGACAGCCTGTGTGGGGCGAGGGCCGAGTCTTCCCAAGCTGTGACCCTTTTTCTCCTGACTGACCACAGCCGCCCTGGCGGTCTGTAAAAACACCCAAGCATCGTGGGGCTTGATTGTGCCCGCAGTGAAGACTTCGGGGACCCCCGCCCCTGAGAGTTAGCGGTAACAGCAGCGCCCTGTATTTTGGGAGGAACCCGAGCTGCCTCCTTCGGCCCGGCTGGCGGCCTCTGCGGGGAACCAGCATCGCCCCCGGGGCTGGGGCCCAGCGCCTGCAGAAGCCCCCGACCAGCAGAATTCAGGCTCGGGAGCGCCCGCCTAGTCCTTCTCCAAGGCGAACTGGGTTTTGACAAATGATTTTCTCATTTTCGAACTTTGACGCCAAACTTAAGAACAAAAAAACCTTTGTGGACGAACCGGCATCTGCTGGAGACCATGACCCTCGGCCTCTGCTTTGCCCACATAATTGCTTTAATCCTATGAACGCAGAGAGAGCAGAGAAGGCAACCCTGCCACCTTCCTGGCCCCGCAGCACTGCCAGGAGTGGGGGGCTGGGGATAAGGAGGGCAGGTGTGCCCCCCACACCAACCCCTGGCCCAGAGCTTTGGGGCAAGAAGTCCACGGGCCGCCAGGCCAGGCTGAGGCCTTGGAACTTGGCAGGTGAACGGTTGTCCCTTGCCGTGGAGAGGACTTCTGCCGGACAGGGACGGCCAGCCAGAGACAGGAAGAAGGCTGGGCTGTGGTTTCAGGGCCCAATGGACCCGAGTTCTAGCCCCAGCCTCCTCTTCCCCACACACAGCCCTGCTCTCAAAGGCCAGGCCTCTCCCAGCTGGCTGTAGGCAAGATGTCACTGCCATCATGGTTTGGGGTTTGGGCCCCCGTGCCCTGGGGACAGCACAGAGGGGACTCGGGCCTGGCCTCCCCCGGCTCACAAGGCCGAGAGCCTGGCCTGGGAGCTATAAATAGCAGCCGCAGAGTGGAGCTGCTGCTTGTGCCCACGCTCCTACGCATGAGTCAGCCTGCCCTGGCCTGGGCAGGCGCCCGGAGGAGCCAGAGAGCTGGCCAGAGGCTGGAGGCCTGGCCCAAGTGCAGACCTGTCACTCGGGAGACCGAGGCAGGCAGGCCATTGGAATGGGAGGGAGTGGGGCTGTTGCCTCGGGGCACCTGTGTGCCTGGCAGCCCCGTGAAGATGGACGTCATCCTGCTTGCTCCCTGCAACCCCGAGAGGTGAGACAACAGTGAGCCTCGCTCCCAGATGGGGAAACTGAGGCTCACAGGGGCACTTGGCTGGGATGTGGCAACCCAGAGCAGCAGTTATTATCTGTTGATCCAGCCGTCTCCATCTCTGGTTGAGGGCACCCCAAGATGAGGGGCTAGGGCCAGACCATCCTCAGAGGTGCCCCCACAGGGCTAAGGACAGGGCAGGAGGGAGGTGTCTCCGGGGAGGAGTTGCAAGCAGCCCCCAGGACTAGGAGGAGTGTTCAGGTCAGGTCTCAGATGGGCGAGAACAGCAGGCTGAGAAGCTGGCTTTGCCCTGCAGGCAAAGGGTTGGGAGGCACTGAATGCCTGGGGGGGGGCGGGGGGGCGGGGGGTGCTCTGGAGGGTGATCCTGGGAGACCAGGAAGGAGGCAGGTGCGGCAGTCTGGGTGGGTGAAGCGGAGGGCTGGATCAGGCGGAGATGAGGACCTCCAAGCTCCAGAAGCAGGACTGACCTCAGGGGCCCAGGCTCTGTGGGAGCCAGGTGGTCTTGGGGGGCAGTGCCTGTGTCCAAGGGAGCAGAAAACATCCACCTCAGTCAGAGCCTTAGAGGTGGTGGGTCGACTGGAACCGAGAAGCTAAGGCTCAGAGGGGCCCAGAGGCTCCAGCCGACCATCTGCTCATACACTCATGATGGGAAGCTCACCACCTACCAGACTGATCACCCTCCCCTTGCTCTGACCTCAGGAAGTGCCTGCTTGTGGGACCTTAGTACCTGCCTCACCAGCAAGGGGCATCTTACTGCAGCAGGCTTCTGGGAGTCTGGGGCTGTCTTACGCCCACCCCAGGTCCGATTGGTGCACCCGAAAGTCCTGTCTCCTCTGAGATGAGCCTCTGCCCTGCCTCCAGTCCTTCAGGAGGGAGGGAGTGATGGAATCCTGTTGCCTTAACGGTGGGCAGCACAGAGGCTTCAAGTGTCCAGGCACTTCTGAAAGGCAAACATTTATTCTTAGAGGCAACTCCTATTTGAGGAAGATGGACATTTTCCTACCAAACCCACAAGCCCAGCCCCCTTTGTTCACCCCCACCTTCAAGTGGTCCCCCCAGACTTACAGCTGTCCTCTCCCCCTGGGGGGTGGGGGCAGCCCTTAGGGGCACCAGACCGGCCCTGGTGCTGCCTTCACTCCCCTTCTGGCACAGAGCCCCTAGGATGGGGGGGTCTCCAGCTGCAGTCCCCCTGGGCCTGGCCCCTCTCTCCCACATCGCTATCCATTCATCACACGGTCATCCCGGCAAGGCCCCACTCCCCTGCGGGACCCTGGCTGGCCCACGACCCCAGCACCGACCCCAGCACCGCGGGGCCTAGGCTGCAGCTCCGCCAATACCCCCTTCCCTCTGCTGCGGGGTGACCTCTCGCTGCGCCCTCCTGCCCCGCGCCTGGCTCCAGGGTGACCCTGGGGAGCGGGGCTCCCGAAGAGGCAGGCCCACCCCGCCGACCCCGCCGACCCCGCCGACCCCGCCCCGTCGCCCCCCCCAGCCGGCCCCGCGACTCCCCAGGGCGCGGGCGGGGGCGCGTGTGCGCGGGGCGGGGGTCGGGGCGGCCGTGACCTTGGCCGGGCGCGGGTCCCCGGGGAGGGGCGGAGCGCGGCGCCCGGCGGGCGGGGACGGGCGGGGACGGGCGCGGGCGCGGCGGCGGCGGCTCGGGCGGGCGGGCGGGCGGGCGGCGGGCGCGCGGGGGGCGGCGGCGCCCGAGCGGACACGAGCCGGCCAGCAGCAGCCGCGGCGGCGCCGCAGGACGAGCGCCCAGGTAGGCGGCCGGGGCGGGGGCCCACCCGCGAGGCCCGCGGCGCCCTCTCCCCGCGCGCCCCTCCTTTGTCCGAGCCCCCCCCGCGCCCGCGGGCCCGGCCCTCCTGCGCCCCCGCGGCCCCCGCCCGGAGCCCCCAGCGCGCGGGCCCCCGCCCCGGCCGCGGCGCGCCCACCTTGGACAGCTCCCCTCCGCGCCCTGCGCCCCGCGGCCCTCGCCCGCGCCCCCCCGCCCCTCCCCCGGGCCGCCGCGGCCCCGCTCCGGGCGGGGTCGGGCGCGCTCAGAGCCCCCGCGAGGGGCCCGTCTCCCCGCGGAGCGTCTGCCCGGCCTCCTGCCCCCGCGGCCCCGCCGAGCCCCGCACCCGGGAGCCCCTCCCTTGCTCCCTTGGTCGGGCCCTTCCCCCACCACCGAGAGCCTCCGCCGGAGCCGTGGGCTGGCCCCCCCGGTGTGCGTCCCCTCCCCAGGCCCCCGTCACTCCCAGTGCCGAGGTCAGACCCCTCCCCATTTGCCCGAGCAGAGAGTGTGTGTGTCCTCTGCCCTCCCCTGGGTCGAGGCCTGCTCTCCGGGCTTGGAGGAGGACCCTGGGCTGGGGAGCCAGCGGGGCCCAATTCAAATCCTAGTCGGCCCTGCCACCTCCCTGCTCTGTGACCTTGAGCCAGTGCCTCCCACTCTGAGCCTCGGTGACCGAGACCCCCTGCCCCCACCCCACAGCAGGTGAGGGTGGGATTCCGCAGCGCCAGGTGGGTGTCTGGCCTGGACGTGGGCGTTAGTGGACCAGGGCTCCGACTGCAGGGACTCAGACACCAGCAGGGCCCCTCCTGGAGGACATCCTGCTGATGGGCCCGGAGCCTGCCAGGGGGTCTGCACCCAGAGCAGGGCAAGGGCGGCCTGGGTCTCCGGCCAGTGATGGCGGTGCCCGGAGGCACGCTCATGTGCCCACCTCTCAGGGTGCCCACCCAGGGAAGGGCAGCGCCTGCAGAGCAGGCTGGCACCCCTTGCCAACAACCACCCCCCCCCAACCGGAGCTTCCTCCCAGTGCTGAGAATTGCTGTGCATGTCACCAACATGCCAAATGGTCTACTAGGAGTGAGTACTGGTGAGCGTGTAGAAGTGTGCCTGGCACGTAAGTGGGGTATGTGTCTGCTGTTACTTTTATCGTTATATCCGCTCCTGGCAAACCGGGTACTTTTGATCCTTCAGAGCCTGCCTTCACAACCCACTACCAGCCAAGTGCTTTACACCCAGAGCCCTCGTGGTTGATGGTTACGATGGTCTGTCTTTACCGAGGGCCCCGCGTGCCAGGAGCCTGGCTGTGGGCTTCATCCCGCTTCTACGCTGCTTGTCCCAGCAACTTGTGGAGCAGGCTCCTTGCATGCTCCCATTCACAGAAAACCAGGACTCAGGGACCCCAGCTGACCTGCCAGGTTCTCACCAGGAGGTTCACACCTGGTCTCACACCCCCACGCACCTGAGGGAGGGACCTTGGTCCGTTGTAATCTCCTGTCTCCTCTCTCCCACGGTGGACAGCCCTCCATACTGAGGGACCTTCAGAGACCGCTGGGAAGGAGGAAGGGAAGCCGTGCCCTGCTGGAGATAGGCCTTCTGCTGTCCCACCCCAGCCCAGGGCTCCTCCCCCCTCTGCAGCAGCTCAGGAATTGCTGTGCTGTGTGACCTCAAGAGGCCACTGGATCTCTCTGAGCACAGGGGCAGTGGAGAGGCTTGGAGGACACCTTTTCAGGAAGATCTGTTCCTGCAGATACAGCAGACCTGAGCCATCAGCTATGGCAGACCAGACTGCCCTCTGGGTGCAGAGTACAGGAAGTGGGGACCTTTCTTATTGGGTCCAGTTTCAGTTGTCCCACCTCTGATCGAGGCTGCTATCAGAAATCAGTGCCATGATTTGCAAATTGTGGCTCTTAGATCTCCAGCATCAGGACCACACTCACGGGATGAGAGAGGAGGGCAGCTTTATGGTGCAAGTTCCTGGGGCAGTGGCCCTGGGCCACCAGGTCTGTCATTTCTGGGCCCAAGGCGACAGGCATGTTAAAGACACCCCACCATGTGGCTCCCATGAGGTTCAGGGATCCGCAGACGTTGGCACAGCCTGTCACCAGCGAGCCTCAGGCAGGGGCACCTGGGGGTGCTGGGGAGGGGGCATCCAGGGCCCCATCCAGGAGCAGGTGACTGGATCTGAAGGGAATCCAGGTGGAGCTCTGCCCAGCCCACCACCTCAGACCCCAGCAGGGAGCCTGTGGTTGTCAGAGAGAGGCATCATTTCATAGAGGCAGAAACAGAGGCTCAGGGTGGCAACGCAGCTTGCCCAGGTCACAGAGCCAGGTCTGCTGGCTTCCAAGAGCTCCTGGCCACCCCGGGAAAAGAAGGAGCAGCCAGTGCAGCCTGGGAGGGGGGCAGCAGGTGGGGAAGCAGTGAGTGCACTGCACACTGGCATCTGCGCACCCCTCCCAGCAGAGTCTCCCAGGAACAAGTTTGGGCCCCAGGTTCTGGGGCAGGGAAATAGGCTAAGGGGGCTGGCTCCAAGCCGACACGCAGGGTACAATTGCGAGGTCAGCCAGCTCAATCAGAGGACCTCCCCAGGACACAGGAGAAATGTCACCTCCTCTGAGAAGCTGCCCCTTGTACCGTCACCTCACCCCCAGGGGCCCAGAGCTGTCCCCTCCTGACTGCGGCCCTTTGTGCCTGACATTCCTCTCTGTACAGGGTCGGTCTGGGGTTCTAGCAGCTGGCACAAGCCCTCCCGGCCCTGACCGCCCCCCACCGCGTGGAAGATGCCTGAGCAGAGCAACGACTACCGAGTGGTGGTGTTCGGGGCGGGCGGCGTGGGCAAGAGCTCGCTGGTGCTGCGCTTCGTGAAGGGCACGTTCCGGGACACCTACATCCCCACCATCGAGGACACCTACCGGCAGGTGATCAGCTGTGACAAGAGCGTGTGCACGCTGCAGATCACCGACACCACGGGCAGCCACCAGTTCCCGGCCATGCAGCGGCTGTCCATCTCCAAGGGCCACGCCTTCATCCTGGTCTACTCCATCACCAGCAAGCAGTCGCTGGAGGAGCTCGGGCCCATCTACAAGCTCATCGTGCAGATCAAGGGCAGCGTAGAGGACATCCCCGTCATGCTGGTGGGCAACAAGTGCGACGAGACGCAGCGGGAGGTGGACACCCGCGAGGCCCAGGCCGTGGCCCAGGAGTGGAAGTGCGCCTTCATGGAGACGTCGGCCAAGATGAACTACAATGTCAAGGAGCTCTTCCAGGAGCTGCTCACGCTGGAGACACGCCGGAACATGAGCCTCAACATCGATGGCAAGCGCACCAGCAAACAGAAGAGGACAGACCGCGTCAAGGGCAAATGCGTCCTCATGTGAGCCCGGAGCGCCTGCCACCAGCCGGCCCACGCCTCTCCCCACGCCCCTGCTCCTCCTCCCCCCCCAGTCCTCCGCTCCCAGCCATGAGCCTCCCTGCCCTCCTCCCCACCTCCTTCTCTCTCCCTCTCATCTCTTCCACTTCTCTTCCTTCACCCAACACCTCTGCGGGGGAGACCGAGGCCCTGGGGAGCCCGCGGCAGGTCTGGGGCTCCAGCCCGGCTCTGCTGAGCGGCTCTGCCTCCCGCCCCCACCCCCCAGGCCTGTCTGCACCCCCCAGAGCCACGTGCTGGAGGTGGCCCCCTGGATCCGCACCTGAGAAACAGGTGAAGCTGCCTGTTCCCGCTGGGACCGAGGACACTGGGTCCTCCCTGATCCTGCCCATCTGTCTCTTTCCTTCGGGCGCCCCAGGCAGACCTGTGTCTCCCCCATCGGATCACTGTGACCGTGCTGGGGAGAGGGAATTGAAATGCACATGGACCTCAGAGTTTGTTTTCCCCCCTTTGGTGTTTAACAGACGCTGCCCCTGCTCCATCCTTCATAACCTCCGGCCTGTGCTCCCCACTCCAGGTCCCAGATCAGTCCTCACCTCTGTCCCCAAGCCTCAGTGAGGGGCGGGGGGGGGCCTTGCGGGATGGGTCTCAGGCCACCAGGCAATAACCACAGAGCCTGCAGCAGCGCCCCGCCAGCCTGGAATCCCACTCCTCGCCCAGTGTAGGGTGAGGCCGGGTACAGGCAGGGGAGGCCTGGGACTGGCCCGTGGCCACAGCACAACTCAAGGGGACCGTCCAGCATGAATATGGAGGGCCTTCCCAGACACGGCCTGCAGACACTGGCACATCCTGCTACCACTGAGCCTCAGGCAGGGGCACGTGGGATGCTGGGGGGAGCACCCGGGGCAGAATCCAGGGGCAGGCGACTGGACCCAGCACCAGCAGGATCTGAGGGGAATCCACGCAGAGCTCTGCCCAGCCCACTGCCTCCCGCCAACTGTGCCCCAGAGTTGGGGAGCTCTGCCCAGCAAGACGTGTGTCCTGGAGTCAGGGGATATAGGCCACCATGAGATTCCGAGAGTGGCCACGTAACTCTACACTCATGGAGGGGGAAGGGGCTGTGTGACAAGCATGAAGGTGAGCCGTAGGCCTGGGGTGGGGGTGACCAGGGGTGGTGGGTTTGTACAACCTGGAGCACACAGGCAGATCGCTTGTGTCTCAGCATGTGTCTATGCGTGCACTTGTGTGTGTGTGGCTGTCATTTGGATGGTAAGTCTGTGTCACGGTCTCTGTGTAATAACGGTGTAGGCTATGTGTAGGGGTGGGCAGTGTGGTTGTCCTCAGGAATGGTTATTTGTGTCTCTGGGAACCTTTGTACCAGCATAAGTGTGATTGTAAATGGTTGTATTTTGGGGAGTGGGGGACGTGATTTATAGGACCGCATCTGTAAACCTGTTCGTTCTGCTGCCTGAGGAAGCCCATTTGGCTTTGTAGTGAGGTGGCTCTTGGCTCAAACTCTGTATGGATCATCTGTGGGTGCCTAACAAATGACCACAAAGTCAGCCAATGGAAACTGGACACTTTTGTCATCTCCGTTCCTGTGGGTCAGGAGTCCGGGCATGGCTTCCCCAAGACTTCCACTCAGGATCTCACGGGGCTGCGATCAGAGCCGGCTGGCTGCAGTCTCATCAGAAGACCTGACTGGGGACGGATCTGCTCCCGAGCTCACACAGCTATCAGCGGCATCCAGTTTCTGCAGTTTCAGGCCCAAGTGGCTCCATTGCCCACTGGATGTCAGCGGGAGCCACCCTCGGCTCCTTGCTGCGTGCGTGTCTCCCTGGGGTTGCTCGCAGCATTGGGCGTCCTGGGGCATGAGAAAGCTGTGTGTGCATGCTTGCACGTCCTTGGGCGCATCGGGACTGACCTCTATGTGTGTGTGTATGCGTGTGTGCATGTGAGAAAGGCCATGTCGCGGTACAGTCATGTGACCACATGGGGACTGTTTATAGGTGAGAGGGGCTGCTTGTGTCCATCTCAGTAGCAGTGTGTTTGGTCTTCTCTGTGTTCGTGGGACTCCACAAATGTTTACTGGGCACGCTATGTAGAGAGGGAGGGAATGTGTGTGTGCAAGTGTGTGCGTCACCGCCTGGCACATGGACGGGCATGGAAGAGCTGGTGGCATCCTGCCTGAGCACAACTGAGCCCCTGTATCCTGTGGTGGGTCCAGGGCCCACCAGCATCTGGTGTTGCTCCTCCCCACCCCGGGAGCGTTTCCTGGGCCCTGCTGGGCAGGGGTCTGCAGCCCTTTCTCAGGGACACACCCTGATAGCACAATCTCCCTGGGGCCCCGCCCACCTCCAGGCCTTTCCGGGTCCCAGGCCCCGGTCCCCTGGGGAGAAAGGGCTTCTGCAGCAGGAGGGGCCTGAGCCTGTCCCAGTCTCTGGCCCATCCTGCCTGGGCATCCCTGGTTCTGGGGACCATGCCAGGCCATGCTTGCTGTGATTCCATCCCTGCCCCTCCTCCCCCCGCATGTGGGTGCCCCCTGCCCCCCATTGTGGGGTCTGTGTAGCATTTGCTCTAGAAATAGTCTTCCTGCAATAAAAAAGTGGATCCTGCATTCCCCATCAGTGTCCTTTCTTTGGGGTCGGGGAGGGCAGGCCACCACCTGCAAAAGATAAGAAACATGAAGGATGAGAAGGTGAAGGATGAGGGTGAGGGATGAGGAGGAGGTGAAGGGATGGGGTGAGGGTGGAGAAGGTGAGGGATGAGGATGGGGATGGAGGAGGTGGGGGATGAGGGTGAGGGAAGAGGTCGAAGGAAGGAGCTGTGGGAAGAGGTTGCACATTTGTGATGTAGCCAGTTCAGCATTCCTCCAGGTGGTCCCCCCACAAGAGACCCCCCCACCCCCACCAGAGCCCACACTTACTGCAGCCGGATGCGGGGAATGAATGAGCAGGTGCGGTGAGCCTCCTTTTACATGGGGAGGAACCCACAGGGCCTCAGCCTCCCCATCTGTTAAATGGTTTGGGGCAGAGTTTGCAAACTTCCCAGCAGAGGCACAGAGAGGGTGAGGAGAGGGAGGCATTCACCAGCCGCAGGAGACTTAAGTGGGGGACGCCAAGAACTCAGCCAGCAAGACACACATTGTGAAGAAATATTTAATGCAAAGGAAACCATGGCGAAAAAAATATCAATATTTTAAATAGAGATAGGATCTGACACAGCCTGGGAGAAGCAACGAGGTGGTTGGCACAAGTGCAGCATCGGATCTTGTCTTTCCTTAAGGTTTTGGTATTTTGTTCATCCTGGATTATTTCTGCATTTATTTTGAATTTTTTAAATATTGCATTAACATAGTATTTATCTTGATGGCAAGGTTTTCTGTTTCTTTCTTTCTTTCTTTTTTTTTTTTTTTTCCTTTTCTCGGTGCCCCTTTAAGTTTTGGATTTGAGGAAAGCACCTTTCTTGCCTCCTCTGTCTTTGGGGCCACATGATGATGTCCTTGGGGGGAAGCATGCTCAGCCACCTTGCCCAGCCCACGCAGCAACGGCCAGACCTTCTGATTTCTCAAGAGGGCCTGGAAATCTAGACTTCTTTTTGTGAAATGCCCTGATTTTTAAATGTTACCAACATACTTATATTTTTCAACAATTCTGGGGCCACATTCCTCCCCCCCCCCCCCGGGGTGGGGGGCGGCTGCTAGTTTGTGACCCTTGTGTAGAGACATGGGCTGGGGCCTCCAGGCGCCTGCAGTGGGGAGGTTCTTGCAGGGATGACAGGAGCCCCGGGGAGGGGAGGGGGGCCCCTCAGCTGGAGGGCTGGAGGCTCAGATCACAGAATAGCAGCATATTTTTTTTTATAAATTAATTTTTATTGGTGTTCAATTTACCAACATACAGAATAGCACCCAGTGCTCATCCCGTCAAGTGTCCCCCTCCGTGCCCGTCACCCATTCACCCCCACCCCCCGCCCTCCTCCCCTTCCACCACCCCTAGTTCATTTCCCAGAGTTAGAAGTCTTTATGTTCTGTGTCCCTTTCTGATATCTCCCACACATTTCTTCTCCCTTCCCTTATATTCCCCTTCACTATTAGAATAGCAGCATATTGCACAAAGTTGTAGAAGTCCCGGAATCTGGTGGCTCCATCTTCCTGTGTTAAGAAATTCTCTCCTCCCTGACTGTCGGTGCTTTTGCAGACGTACCATCCATTTCCCAACATCTTCAGGGGGAGCTTATTAAAAATACACATTCCAGGGGTCCAGGGCCCACAGGATGCTTCAATCTGGGGGGGGGGGGGGCAGGGAACCTGCTTTTTCAGATCCGGGCGCAGGAGTTAGGAAGTTGAGAAGCCCTGGAAGTTATGAGACAGGTTTTGGGGAATGACCTTGGGTGTAACCTCCCTGAGACTCAGTTACCACCTCTGTAAAATGGGGACAATGTGATTTCGCCTCTCGGCGTTCTGTAGAGGGCTCAGAATAAGGGCGCAGTTTCTGTTGTCCGGCAGGTCAAGCGCTCTGTGAGGAAGGGACGCACTTCTCCCGCCAGGGAGGCCCAGGTGCTAGGCTTTTGGATTCGAATTCGCGGAGGGCCTCGCACCCCACTGACGTCACCGAGTCACCTCTGGAAATCTGCTTGTCGCGGGTGGTGGAGTCCACACCACAGCGGGCCAATGTGCATATTAGCATAGCCCCGCCCCCACCACACGGTCCCCGCTCGCGGGTGGCCAGCGGCGATGCCACTCAGCGTCCCCCTCCTGGCCCCGCCCACGCCGCGAGCCCCGCCCCCTCGCCTGGGCGCAGCCTACCCCGCTGCCTGCCCCGCGCCCCGCCCCGCCCGGGGCCTCCCGCCGTCCGGGCTCTTGATTGGTCGCGCTGCCTGCCAGTGCCCGTCCCCCGGGCTCCGGCCCCGCCCCCGGAGGGAGCGGGCGCTTGCCGGCTAGGCGGCGGGTTCGGCTGCGCTGCGAGGCTGAGGCGGCCGCGGCGGCCAGAGCTCAGGTAAGGGCGCGTGTAGCCGCCGGCCGGGCCGGGGTCCGGCGGCCCTGCCTCGGGCTCGGGGGTCAGGGGCGCGGCCGGGGCGGAGGGCGGCCCGGGGCGGCCCGGGGAAGGCGCCCTGGAAGGGCTCTGGTTTGGCTGTGGACCGAGTTGGGGGTCGCGGTCCGTGAGGAAGAGGCTGCGTCCCGGTCCCGGCCGGAGTCGGGGGTCGTGGTCCGTGAGGAAGGGGCTGGAGTCGAGGGTCCCGGCCGGAGTCGGGGGTCGGTCCGTGAGGAAGGGGCTGGAGTCGAGGGTCCCGGCCGGAGTCGGGGGTCGCGGTCCGTGAGGAAGGGGCTGGAGTCGAGGGTCCCGGCCGGAGTCGGGGGTCGGTCCGTGAGGAAGGGGCTGGAGTCGAGGGTCCCGGCCGGAGTCGGGGGTCGCGGTCCGTGAGGAAGGGGCTGGAGTCGAGGGTCCCGGCCGGAGTCGGGGGTCGCGGTCCGTGAGGAAGGGGCTGGAGTCGAGGGTCCCGGCCGGAGTCGGGGGTCGGTCCGTGAGGAAGGGGCTGGAGTCGAGGGTCCCGGTCGGAGTCGGGGGTCGCGGTCCGTGAGGAAGAGGCTGGAGTCGAGGGTCCCGGCCGGAGTCGGGGGTCGCGGTCCGTGAGGAAGGGGCTGGAGTCGAGGGTCCCGGTCGGAGTCGGGGGTCGCGGTCCGTGAGGAAGGGGCTGGAGTCGAGGGTCCCGGCCGGAGTCGGGGGTCGCGGTCCGTGAGGAAGGGGCTGGAGTCGAGGGTCGCGGCCGGAGTCGGGGATCGCGGTCCGTGAGGAAGGGGCTGGAGTCGAGGGTCCCGGTCGGAGTCGGGGGTCGCGGTCTGTGAGGAAGGGGCTGGAGTCGAGGGTCCCGGCCGGAGTCGGGGGTCGCGGTCCGTGAGGAAGGGGCTGGAGTCGAGGGTCCCGGTCGGAGTCGGGGGTCGCGGTCTGTGAGGAAGGGGCTGGAGTCGAGGGTCGCGGCCGGAGTCGGGGGTCG